AAAAAAAAAAAAAAAAAGCTTTATTGTTTCTAAAAGTGAGAAGCCAATCTAAATGAACAATACAATAACTGTCAACAATTTTATAACTTCAACTTTCCATTATAGACTCTTGTGACAAAATTTTCATTCCCATTCTTCAATGGCCGAACAGGAGGTGTTAGACAATCTTCAGCGTAGAGCATTCAAATCATCATGTTCTATGCTGCAATATAAATAAGTAGCCCGGAAACGAAATCACATGCTCAAAAGATCATGACACTTGCTAGGTTGGTATATTACTGATCATTAGCCCCATCGGAGTAATCATCGTCAAAATCGTCGTCATCATCGTCCTCTCCGACGCGATTTGTATTACCATTGGCCTCATCATCATCAAAGGACCCCCTAACTGTAAGAAAACATCCAGAGTCCAAGGGCTTGTAATCATTTCCCCTCCAAACTACAATCTGCTCTTTCTCAAATGTCACCAAGATACAAGGCACAAGGTCCTGAAAATTGATCGAAAATGGAAAGAGTTGAAACTTTTGGCACAATAAACAGTTCTTAAACCAATGAATGATACCACCAAACAAAGTTCTGAAGACTTAAAGACCATTAATAGCCTAAAATAAAGCTATGCTAACTTTCAAGCTTAAAATTACTCTGTGTGCCCACCCCCATTTATCGAGGCATTTGAACAACAGAAAAATTTATTTAAGATCATTGTATAATCCTGTATAGCGATCAATAAAGTAGTAAAAGATTTTAAGGGAACAAATTTAAACGATGTAGTAGGATAAGGTGGTTGGCCTTGGGATCAGTCAGGTTTGGACAACCTGTCTCAGTCACTCATGAATGTAAATAAATAGTATAAATAAATAAATAAGTCCCTTCCCTACCCTACCTCCGCACGAAGGCTCATATGGAGAACATTACTGGCAGTGGCAGTAGATTCTTTCTTCCTTTCTATCTGTGATTTAATAACAAAAGGTAGTTAAATAAAGGCAAGGGGGAAGTGAGCCTTACCCGGAGCTTGCAGCCTATTTTCTTGTAATCACTCTTCTCGAGACCCTGACAGTCAATCCGAACCAATTCGCAGGAGAGAAAAGCATCTCGAACCATGGGTACCAAACTGCCATAGTAACCGTTCTTTGCTGCAGTTCACAGCCATAATTTGTGAGTCAATGACCTCATGATGAAAAGGTAATTACTAGAAACAAGGTAAAAATGGTTCTCAAACACATACCAAGTTTTGTCAAAGCAGGAACAGCAAGTCCTTTCTTTCTCATTTCTTTTGTCTCCTCAATACTTAGTCCATCAATCGTAGTTTTAATCAGCCTGGGATATATAGGTTCATGAGGTCTCCATAACATCAAGGGAATGAATGGCCTTTTCTTGGTAATATAGTTCCTGCCTCTGTATAGAACAAGAAAACCACCATGCCTATGAATGATTTTTCCAAAGGTTTTGTCCTGCAAGCATGGATGAAGCTTGCATTAATTCCAGCAAAAACAGGTGGGTGTTATCATGTCATACACCATTAAAACAAATATCAAATGGTGTCACTCAAAATAGATTTCAATATGTTGAATATTCTTTGTGAGAAGAAATTCAATACCTGAAAAAATAAAGGAAATAAAGCGTTGGTATAAAGAAAGACAACTACAACCGTAAGAACCGAAAGTCATACCTCAAGTTGGGTGCACACATTTTTCATATCCACAGTGGGAACACCTAAACATTTGATCCTCACTGCTTCGGCATGTTTCCAGTGATTATAAATATCATTTAACATGTTGTGAGTCAAACCGTCTCTTCCTACAAACACATAGAAGTTATGTAGTTAAGAGAAAAGCAACTACTACAATGGAGCCATTAAACATAGGGATTGGGTAATAGAACTCCTCAGACATATAAGCATCGCAAATAAGTTATAAGATTTTTTTTTATGCTATCCATGTAGCATCTGTTAAATAGAGATGATGAAAAAAAACCCCATCCTTTTGTATATCACGCTGCATATCTTATTATCAACCTCAGTTTTTTTCTAATAATAAGATAAAGCAGATGTACAAACATAATACAATATAATAACAGCTTCAGAGTACAAATAATATGCGGGTTGTTTAGATATTCCAATCAATTCAATTTATCAGAGTAAATGCTCCATGATAACATCTTTATATGAAGGGTGAAATGGAAATCCAATCAAGAATATACCATCTAAATGTCAGCAAAACATAAAGAAATATACACTTTAAACAAAATAACAGCAATGAACATGAATACTGTGAACTTATTAGTTTCAATGAATTTGTCATGTATATCGCTCAAGACTCTTGTTTATAGACCACACCATAAATAAAAAATCAATCCCGATGTCTAATGCATCAGAAATACACAGACGACAAAAAAACATACAGCACAAACATTGAACAAACCCATTAAAAAAAAAAACCACATACCCACCTAAATTTTCACATCTGGTACCTGTTCACCAAAATCCAACAATACTTGGACCAAAAACCAAATTTCCAATCTTTGCACATCCCATAATATCACATACCCAAATTAATCTGCCTCTTTGTTTTCTTCTTTTGGCACTTCTCCACCAAAGCCTTTCTCTCAGCTCCCGTCAGTGGCTCCCCTTGGATATTCTCCCTCATAAACCTCCTTTTCTCTTCCAATTTTGGATCTTCCATGCCCTCTACAGAGCTCGCCTTCGGGTCCACCGCCGGGGCACACACCCCAGACCATTTCCTGTCGAGGCGCCCTGGCCCAAACGGCGAATACTTCGGTTCTCGAAGCCCGATAGGCCTCACAGAGGGGCTAGTCTCCGTGTAACTGTACTGGAAATCGAACGGCAAATCGGAATGCCTTGGCTTCTTGTCGGCGAGGTCGAGCGACGAGGGCGGTTTGTAGCGCTGTTTCGGAGGTTTATTCGGCCGCGGTTTAGGCTCCGGCGCTGGGGGTTTTGGGGAGAGAGACGGCGGGGATTCAAAGGCGTAGTGATCGCGGAGCTTGGAGTAGCAGAAGCATCGATTGAAAGATGTGAGAGGAGGAGCAAACAGGATTGGTTTTTGGCGGAGCAGTCTGATAACGAACATGAGGTAGACTGAGCGTGGATGAACAATGGCGGATAATCGGGAGGGGTTTAGGGTTTATCTGCGAACAACGAAATCGATTTGGGAAAATCATTTTGTTGTTTTTTTTATTATTCTTTTTCTTTTTTTGGTTGGTTTGAAAGTGGTATTTAATTTTGAGCCGTGGGATGAGTTGTCTCAATAAATATATGTCAATTATCATTTAATTATATTTATGTTGGTATGAACAAAATGACTTGATGGTCGCATGCTGATATTTTTATTTTAAGGTGTGGCATAATAATAGTGTGATAGCTCTGATAGCTCCGATGAAATTGATAAATAAACGTTTGTAAGTTTTTTTTAAATAAGAAAAATGGTCCTAAGTATTTAGGCTTTTCTAGTATAAGTGGAGCAAGATAATTCGAACTCATGATCTATGAGTGAGAGACAAATGTTAATTACCTTTAAACTAAAATTGTGTTGATATTGTAAATGTCTAGTTATATGCTCGGAATTTTTAATGGAACGTACCCTTTTAGTCTCAAGATATGAGTTTAGTGTATATATTAATCCATGAGGTCTAAAATGAGATAACTTTAGTCCATACGACTTAAAAAACGGTTATAAATGGTATTTGAATATCACATCATTTTTCCATCGTTGAACTAACAATCAAGTTAATCTTAAAATTTTAGGGATTAAAGAGACACTAAACTCAAATTTCAATGACTAGATATATATTTAAGCCAAATGTTTTGTTTAAAGATCTATGCCTTGTCTAGAGTTACATTTTTTATTTGTTATTTTTTAATCTTCCTGTGACTTTTACAAAGTTAGTATTTTTCAAGTTTTTGATATCCATTGATCTCGTCAATTCGTGAGGAGGAATTACACGTAAAAGGGCATCAACGAGTTGAAGTGAAGATTTTAGAAGTGTACTAAAAATATAAAATTAACCCAAGTGAAGATTTTAGAAGGTTGTAGAAGTTTGTGTTAAAGATATAAAATTAACCCCAAGTGAGATTTTAGAAGGCTGTGTTAAAAATATAAAATAAACCCTCGTGGTTAGTTTATTGGTCCAAGGAAAATAGTAAATCAAATAGATTTAGGAGAAATAAGTTCAAAACTCATAATACACACTTATTTATTGTTTTTTTTTACCGGTGCACTTTTCAAAATTTGTTTGAAGCATATCCAATCATAAAATTGAGAATTTGAATCCCCTGCCTATGCTATATGCCGTGTATAGTAGACCAAATGCCAGCCGAGCACAACGCCAAAGAGTTTGGGCAGGCTAAAGCTCGACACAAAAAGTGCTCGAGGCCCGGCAGAGCTTAGGCCTTTCTTTCTGTCGGATAAGGCCGGGCCGGCCCAATGATGAGGGCTGCGCCCAGTTAGACATGAGACACGGTCCAATATTTATCCACCAGCCCGATCCATCACACCACAATGCCCCAGCCCAACGCCTAGCTCCATTTTATTAAAAGAAAAAGGAAAAAAAGAAAGAAAAAAAAAAGAGGAGATTCCATTATTAGTTTGATAGTTTTGTTACTCGCACGCCTGCTTCACCCTCCTCCCTCTTCAGCGTGTCGCCGTCGCGCCACCATCGCGCCGCCCCGACGCCGCCTCCCTCCTGCTCAGTGTCGCCGCCGCTGCCACTCCCTTCCTTTTCGTTAGAGTTTCCTTGTCGCGCCGCACACTCCAATCGTCTTCCTCTCTCGGTCTCAGGTACTCTCATCAATCTCCATCTCTGTGTTTCACCGTGCTCTTTCTCTCGGTACACGGCCTATAGCCTCTCTCGGCGCTCTTTTTGTTCCGTCGGGGTCCACAGTTTGTAAAATCAGATCAAATTGGGATTTCTTCTGTTCTTTTGTTTTTGTTTTTGTTTTTGTTTTGTTTTTGTTTTTTCTTGTTTGTGATGGTGGAATTGTGCGTGTGAGGGATTATTTGGACTAGTTTAGGTATCCGAGGTTGGAAGGATTTTCTGTTGTTGATGTTTGGATGTGAATTCAGATTTCTATCATAAAAGTTCCCGAGTTTTCTTTGTTATGTCGGGACACGGGAGGAATCTGGTAAGTTTTCTCTTTGGATAGCTGGCTTATTAGCAGCCCTGATGCAGCGGGTTTTGGAAAGATGGAAATAAATATATAATAGTTGGAAATCTGTCTCAAGAACAGTAGCAAAGCTCTCTATGGAGAGAACACTCCTAATTTTATGAATGAAAAGTTTTTTAAAGGTTCCTATTACAACTTGAATGAGGTTACTTATAGCCTTACGAAAACAATTGAAATTTTAATTAAATCCCAAATACTAATTCACTATTAAATTAACTAAAATAAATTACAACTGACCATAATTTATATGGAACATTTCAAAAGTTAGTCTTGTTCTCATGCTCATATTCTCTCCAATTTTATGGAAAAGGTCCTATAACATCTCAAGCATATCACCTTTGGCAGTGTTAAATTCAGCATTAAATCATTCAGGCCTCAAGCCCAACTCATGGACATCTATCCAAATACCCTCTTCGGTGAAAGGGGGTTAGTTCCAGCTTCAAGTTTTTATGCTTCGAAGGAAGCAAAGGAATAGAGTGGCAGATCGAGTATGGTGGTATTTGCATTCTTTAGTGGTAATTAAAATAGGAAAAGCAATACTTTAAACATAACATTCCAGTGTGTGATGGTTCAAGGGAATAGTTTTTAGTTTTTAACTTTATGATTGTCGACTGTTGTATAATTGTTTTAGTAAACATTACTTTAACAAACTTTTTTTGTTGTCTTTTCCTTTTTCATGGTTTGCCCATCTGATTATGTCATAGTTCTCATTGATTGAAACTTTTTGAAATCCGACCAATTAGTCATTGATGGGAAAATATTGTTCTTTGAGTTTTATCAGTGTTCTTGCTGTTACTGTTATTTTTTACTTTCTCAGATACCTATGTCTTTGTATTAGATGGCAACGCTGGAATTGTTTGCTCAAGATGAAGATAAAGATGTGACTCCTGCAGAAATGAAGATGCATAAGATGACAAAAACTAAGTGCCGCGATGGTTCTGATAAAAGGGATGATGGAGAGAAGAAGAAGGAGAAGAAGGAGAAGAAGAAGAAGAAGAGGAAGGAACATAAAATTCGAAAGGACGACCATAAAGAAGAAATAGAATCGGAAACAGAACATTGTGTAAAGAAAGACGAGGAAAAAGAAGAAATAGAACCTGAAACAGAACCTTGTGTAGAGAAAGATGAGGAAATGCAAATGCAGGAGAAGAAAAATGATAACTTGTCTGAAGGCCTTCATAGAAAGAGTCATAAAAGAGGGACAGATAGTGGCAAAGAGAAGAAGAAGAAAAAGAAACAGAAAGTTGAGGATTCCAGAGAAAGTTCTTGTTTACCCATCAACAAGGAGAAGAAGAGGAAGAAAACAAAATTTGTTGAAGATGGATCACCAGAAAAGGTTCATGAAGGAGGAGCAGGATTGAGAGAGAACGGGGACATCGCTAGTCCTTCCAAAAGACTTTCTCCCAAGGGATCATCTAAGAAAGTAAGTTTTTCTGATGATGTGGAGATTTTTCCGTTAGTTGATGGCCAAAGTAGTGAAAAAACTAAGCAAGACGATGGTTTAATAAGAGGTAAGCGGTTTTCTAAAGAAGAAGATGAGATGGTTAAAAAGGCTGTCTTAGAATACATTGAGGAACATGGGCTTGGTGACGAAGGTCTCAAAAAGGTTCTTCACTGCAGGGAGTTTCCTGAAGTGAAAAATTGTTGGAAGGACATTGGAAAAGCCTTATCTTGGAGGCCTTATTTGAGCGTATATTATAGAGCTCACATTTTGTTTGAAAGGGATGATAAGCGTAAATGGACACCTGAGGAATATGAACTTGTTCGAAAGTTTCATGATAAACATGGATCGGATTGGAAAGTATTGGCAGATGCCCTGGGAAAACATAGGTTCCATGTGAAAGATACATGGCGACGAATAAAACTCCCCAATATGAAGAAAGGACACTGGACGCAAGATGAGTACCAGAAATTATTTGATTTAGTGAACACAGACCTGCGACTCAAGGCTTTTGAGGAAAAGAAATCCAAGCACGGAATGCTACGTGACAATATATGCTGGGGAGCAATTAGCGACAAGTTGTCCACAAGATCAACTGCTCTTTGCTGCCAGAAATGGTATCGCCAGTTGACATCACCAATGGTTGCGGAGGATGAATGGGCAGATGTCGATGACTACCATCTTATCGATGCTCTCTCCAGCTTGGATGCTTGCTCCATTGAAGATGTGGAATGGGACCAACTGCTTGATCATAGGAATGGAGATATATGTAGAAAGCGATGGTCCCAAATGGTCAAACACATAGGTGAGAGTGCCAACAAGTCATTTTCTGAACAAGTTGAAGTTCTCTCCAAGCGATATAGCATTGATGTACTTGATGCAAGAGAAGCCTATGACAGTGCACCTATAGTTGATTAGGCATGACATGGTTCAAATCTCCTCATAGCCAATGATCTCATCAGCTATCTTTTCCTCGTTCAGGATGGATGATTTCAAGATGTCATGTCTGATGGCAATGTGTAAGTTGATATCTTCCTCATATTGTTTCCTTATTTTGTAATGGAAAAATACTTCTTCCTACATGAAATGTTATGTCCGTTTATTAGAATTTGGTTGAAGTCGGTAGTAATGTTGGGATGGATTGATTAGAAGACTGGTGATTGTTGCGGTTGAAGTTTTTGTCATACAAGTTCGAAAATATATTATATTTTTATTTTGGTTTCTATACCTTTCATTTTCCATGTTATTTTTAGATATATTTTGTTGTAAGGTGATTATATGCTTTCTTCTTCGGTTTCTTATTTTTTGATTTTCCTTTTCTTCATCTGTTTTCTTTTCTTTCCTCCTTTCTCTGATTTTTCTCTCCTGTTTTCTTTTATTATGTACGTGACAAGCTCTCATTCTCATCCCACTTTCAAATTCTTCAATCTCTTGTTTTTCTCTCAATCCCTCATTCATAAATTAATCTTCACTTAACTGACTGCATTCCAACAGGTAATTGTGTTGTTATTTGTTATTAAATTTTAAATGTTTCCTCTGAAAATTCACGTGGAAGAAGTGGTTTTATGCAACTAAAGGGAAGTTTTATGGAATTTTCTTTGTTGATGAATTTTAGGTAGGTGGAGTACCTACCTAAAATTTATTTATGATTCTGTTGTAGAAGAGAAGGGAACTTATAGCTTACCCATTCATTGCATTTCCCAAATCTTATAGTTCTGTAATTGTCATGCTCATGTAATTTTTTCAATTAGAAAGTTTTGGGAGCTTTTTGTTATCTCATAAATCTTACTAAACAAAGGGAAATTAGTAGTAAAGCAAAATAAACAGGGATTTGCTGCGGCAGAGGTTCAAATTTTCCCTTTGTTTAGTGAGACAATTTAGAGGTTGAGATTGGGAAAAATCTGAAAACCATTGCATGTGGAGAGGCAATATCTGGAAACTGTATAGTTGAGAGTAGTGCATCCTTCTTCTTACGTTTATGACATGAAATTTAAAAAAGAATTACAATCAAAAGGATCCCATAGACCACAGTTAAACCAATGGCCTTCTCTCTTCATCTTTTTCAATCTCTATTTGATGAGCCATTTCATTGTCATTGMTAGCAGGTCTTGAGCTTCTGGTGCTTTGAAATTGGGAAGAGGCTCTGTTTTTGGGCTTGTAATCAGGCAAGAGCTTCAGCGTGATCCCCATGCCTATGAGCAGCAGACCAGTCGCATGTTGTTCACTTAATGGCTTTGTGAATATCAAGTAAGACAGCAATAATGTCACTGCCTTTCTAGCTGTTGTTATCTGTGACAGAATTCAATTGTTTTGAGCTGTTAGTAGGATCACAGATTCTATCCTAGTCATTAAAACTTTCCATTTTGTTGCACTTCAGTGGTTCAACTTTCAAACATTATGCTTTAGTCCCAAACCAGGCAAGCTTAGAGACTAAAACAAGATATTTGGGAATTGAGGGACCAAAATAGAATATTCTATTTAAGTTTAGGGGCCTAAGAGAGATAAATATGGAAATTTGGAAGTTGGTTTCAACCATAAATCAACATATGCACTCGATGTGTTTCACTGATCATGTCCAATTTGGAATGCTGAATTTGATGCAGTGGGCATTTATGACATGCTTGAAAATGCATTCAAAACCCTCTAACTTAGCACATGGAGGAGCGGCAAATAAAGTGAAATGGTTTAAGAAGTGAATAATACCATTGCTGTGGTAGCCGCACCAAATAGGGCAATGAGTGAAAGGACAGATACTTGACCGACGTAGGTTGCCATGGCTTCGAAAACTAACACGCCGTATACATATTTGTGCTGCATAGAACATATGGTTATCTCAGAACATGTATTTCACCAAGTAAATTAAGGGATTGAAATAAATAAATGTAAAAACGGAGAGAGTGCAGTTACAAACAAAGAGAGAGAGGTAACTGTTACCTGAGAACATGAAGTCCATGCTCTAAACAACTCTCCAGTCAAAAGCATGGGCGGGATCAAGAAAGGCAAGCCAACGACGGTTGAACAAAAGAGCATCTCCATCTGTTTGGTCGGTTTCGTATTAACATTCTTTTTTCACATATAAACACCCGTAGAAATAAGGATAGGACATGAGGATCACCTGTGTGGTTTCGGGATTCATGGTAAAAATGGCTTCTTGCAGATTACCAAGAAATGAGTCCATGATTAGAGCACCCGATATCATTATCACGCCGAGAATGCTGAAATTTGGAGATGTTTGTGCATCTGCTAAAGTGAAGATGATCAATCCCACAACCAAAAGTACAGCAGAAACGTATTCGTGAGGTGGATATTTTCGTCGGAGGCCGGGTATGAAGGCACCCATTATCATCACTGGCAAAACCTGTAACATCAAAAGCTTATCAACTTCATTTCAGTTCTAACTTTCATTGTGAGCGTCCAGATGAAGAAAGAAAAAGCAACTTTATCGACTACATTATCAGAATCACAAGTTTCTGATCTTTTAAACGTATCAATGGTTTATTAGTTTCTAAAAACAATAATAATAAAATTAAAATTAAAAACATCCATAGAATTCAAATGCCCGAATGTAAAATATAGTCACAACATCTGGGCTATTTTCAATTTCATAAAAGGATAAATTTTATTAATAAAGTATTTCTAGACATGCCCACCCATTAAATAAAAAACCCACCCACTAAACTTTAATTAATTACATTGAATACTACACATGCCCACTCTTTAAATCAAACAATTTACATATGGTTTGACATGTAATAGCTCATCTGATCCAAAGTGGCTTCTTGTTATAAAAATTGAATCCATAAAAAAATTTATAATACTAACAAGGACAACTAACTTCATAAAAATATATTTTTTAAAATTCCCATATCATCCTTACAGTGAGGACTTAACTGAAGAATTTAACACAAAGGATGAAATTAAAAATTTTAAAAGAGTAGGACAAAAATGAAAAATGACATAAACATGAACTAAATTATATATTTACCCAATTTAGATCAGTGACAAACAGGGAAAAAACCATAATTCAACTCTAAAAGCAAACCGGGTGTGGGGGAGAAAAATGCATCTTTTAGGTCATGTTTATGACCATTTTATTTTTTGTTTTCTGTTTTTTAAAATTAAGCTTGTAAATATATTTTCACCTTTGTATTTATTTGTTTTGCATCTACTTTAATTTTAAAAAAAAAAAAAACTAAGCCAAAATTTGAAAACTAAAAAGAAAAATTTCCAAAAACTTATTTTTGTTTTTGAAATCTACCTAAAAATCGTAAGTGATTTTAAGAAAGTTGGAAATATACTAAAGAAACTGTGAGGAACAAACATAATTGTCAAAAATATAAAACTAAAAACAAAATGGTCATCATTTATCAAACGGGCCAAAATGAGCGGTAATTGATATACATCTCCCATCAAGAGGTCATGAGTTTAATCTCCCCACCCCTGTTGTACTGAAAAAAATTCATTTATCAAACAGGGCCTTGAGACCATCAAGGAAATCAACTCGCAAAGACCACATGGTTTTTGTTAAACAAACAAAATTTCAATGCATATCTTGTATTCATGGAGAAGCCAAATTTACCTTTGTAGATTTGAACATAAGCTGGGCAGGATAGTTAAGGAAGGCCAAAGAGCCTTTGGTGAGGCCATGGGAACCCATCAACACAGCAGAAAGCTTGACATAAGTCTTCCAAGGGTTCACCATTTGCTTGGCAGTGAAGCCTTGGAGGTAAATCAGAAAAAGATACACAAATCCTTGAACAAATGTGAAGTACCACCCATAACTGCACCAAAAGAGAAGGCAAAAATTGGGGGAATATCAATGAAACAGAAGACAAGATTGGCTTATGAAATTTCATGGGTTATAAGTATTTTTGGCAAAGGCTCACCTGAATTGCAGCTTGTTATATACATATTCCTAAAAAAATTAGGCACAAAATGGAGATCCAATCAGCTTTGGAAAGTTTGCATGTAATAATTTTGGTTTCAAAACTGAATATTAACCATATTTATCTTTGAGGATAATAATAGACAGAAAAAAAAAATAACCATATGTAAGGAACCAGTAGCATTTGAACGCTTGAAAGGGAAAACCCAGCAATTATTTGATTGGAAAATGGAATATGGAAGGAAAGAATCTTTTGGTTGAATTTCAAAATCAAAGCGTACGGAATTTTCTGATTGTTTTCTTTTCTTCCCCCTAATTTCATTTTCTCGAGAAACAAACAGAGTGTGACATGCAGCCGAACGAATCGCAAAAATAAAATCGAATAAAATAAAACTTCCACTCTCCGATCACAATCAAACAGTAAAATAGTCATCCATCTTTCAGAACTCAGTCAACAAGGCAGAAATCCACTGAAACGGTCAAGCGTTCGGAAAATAATCATCCAACATTTTCTCGGCAACCAAACAAGAAAAGAAAACAAAAAAAATTACCTCACACACGCCATTGACTAAGTAGCCGAAGAAGAATCCGGAGGAGCAAATGAGGAACTGGTGCCATTTCGGTCTCTCTGTAAGCGAAATCCCAAACAGAGTCCGAACTTGCTCTTCGCTCTTCATCGTCTCTCCGTCTTCCTTCCCCCAATCCAAAAAACAAAAAACCGCACCGATTAGGGCTTAAATCGAGCCGAAATCGCTCATAAATCGAAGACTAAAATCAAAACAAAATTGATCGAATCAAGAACACGAATACGCGTTATTCAACTCGAGAAATCACTTGCATGTCAGAGAGAGAAAATTTGTTGAGAGAAATTTGTGTATAATCAAAGAAGCTTTTATAGAAACGGTGGCGCGAGGGCCGGTGGTGAGAAGTGGAGGCCGATTCACGTTACATTCTAAGCTCTGCGCTGGCTTTTCTCGTAATGCAGAAAGAGAGAGAAACTGAAGAGAGAGAAACTAGAGAGAGAGAGAGAGAGAGAGAGGTTTCCATGGAAATATTTTCCCGAGGTTTTTGTATGCTGCAGATCATGTACATAGTGGATAATAGAGTCGCCTCTGGGTTTGACTTTTTTACGCGTTTGTGGTCAATTTGGACCGTTCGATCGTATCAAATTTTGATCTGACGGATGTGTCGGCAATTGAGTATTGTGGACTTGTGTGTACTGGATTTCAGTTCTCTTACCATGTCCTTTACTTCAAAATGGGAAATTTCATTCGGTGGAGACAATGGCATATTAGTAATTAATTTATCCAAAAAATAAAAGGACATTAATTAACATATAACCATCGTTAAGGCATGTATTATTGATAAAAATAAAAGCAGTGATTCAAATTCTCATATGATTAAATAAAAACTTATTGATATCTCAAAAAAATAATAATAATAAATAAATAAATATGGACTAAAATTAAGGTCGGGATTTAATTTCTTTTTGGTAAATGAATTTAAAAACCATCATTTTTTTGTCACTGAGATTTAAATTTAGTTTCAAAGGTGGCACGTTTGGTCTTTAAATTTGAATTTAATTTTTAATTATCTTTGAAGTTTGAATTTGATTTAAAGTCAGTCATTTAATTATGTTGACCATAATATATGTTTAATTTCCTCTAAACAAAATAATGGTGGACTCAACTTAGATACCAATTAAAAACCAGATTTAAACTTCAAGGTCAATTAAAAACCAAATTCAAACTCCAAGAACCAACTACAAACTAAATTCAAATTTTAAAGATTAAATATGTCATTTTTTGAAATTTAAAGACCATATAGAAATTATTTATTAAAAGTAAAAAGAAACTAAATTTAAATTCCATAAATTAAAATGGACTGTTTTTAAAAATCATGGACGAAATAAAAATCAAGTTTAAATCCTAAGTAACAAAAATATATTTACCAAAAAACATATATATAGTATAAGAAAAGGAGGGTTCTCCTAAATTGTGGTGTAAATATTTTATTTAAGTTTTTATCATTTTTAAAAAGAGTTCACTTTGATCTTTCAAACTTTTATAAGATATTTAGTAATATGTCATTAATTGCCGCCAAAGAAAATAATTGTTATTAACCTTTGTATAAAATGTGTTTAAATTTGGATTAATTATAGAATTCAATGAAGTTTATTTATTTATGGTAATGAAATAATATAATTTCATTTTTCAACACTTAAAAATAGTTTTTAAAAGAATAATTTATGTTTTATTTTCTCCTATCATATAATGTATTTGAGACTTTAGGATTTAAATCTTCCAAGAAATAGTTATGTACCATAAACTATACTCGTATTAGTAAGAATATTGTATGTTATTGTCCGATTAAATTACTAACTATGGTTAAATATTTTAAATGCCTAGCCCATTTTCTTGAAAAAATAGTTTTCTAAAATTTGATTTGAGAATTCAGTGTTTCTAAAACAAACAGTAAATAATAATAAATAAACGGGTTATTATAGGTAAATTTTAAATTAATAAAATCATGATTGGTTTATTTTCATGAGCTCTTTTTACATATTTATTTAAATTTGATTTTTTTTAAAATAAAAATATCAAACTTCCTTCTAGCAACACATTTATGTCATCGGAATGAGGATGTTATTCCTTTGACATTGTTTACCATAAATTTTATAGAATCGAAACCAAAATTCTTTTGACGTTGTTTATTGAAACCATATGAGATTGAAATCGGAATTAGATATATAACAATTACTAGTATACCTCTTTCTTATTTCTAGTTAATTATAAATTGATTGTTGTACTGATTTTTTTTTATTACAATAACAATAACAATAAATTTTAATTTATTTTGTTATCGTATGATTTATAATAAATATTTTTTATATAACAATTTATCTAATATTAATAATAATTAATAATTGAAATAAAATTACACCAACTAAAATACTTTTTTATTAGAATTTAATATAAAATATTGTTAAATTTTATTATTCTAATATTCAATAACAATAAATTCTATTTTAAAAAGTCGATTAATATTAATTAATAATAACAAAGTAAAAAAATTAAAATTTATAATATTTTATAATAAAATCATACTAACCAATAAAAATTATATAAATTTTTATTATAAGAAAAAACATTAGTAGTAAAAATGAAAAAGAAATAGTTAATAAAATTATGGGTCTCATTAATAAATAGAGAGAAATGGTAAAAGTAGTAAAAGTAGTCAAATAAACTTAATAAATGTGGGGAGCCTACGAAATAAGGAATGATAATGGAATTGATTAGGGTGTAGGAGATAAATGAGATTACAGCGTTTTAGGGATGAGATTCTCAAATTTGAGGTAGGTCCCACAATTTGATTCCATTCCTAGACTTGTTAAACACCGTCTAGGAATGAAAAAATTCCTCGTCCCACCTCCCATTTAATTCTTCATTCGGCGAAATTCCCCACGAAATTATGCGGGGATCGGAGAAAGGATTCCTCACGGAAAATTTGTGGGATCGGGTTCTCTATGGGGAATTTTCTCCATTTTTTTTAATTTTTAAAAACATTTTTCAATAAATATTTTTTACTTAAAGTTTTTTTTAAAATTTGTTTACTTAATTTCTAAAGATAAAACTTTATTCACAAGATCTCATTATCACAAATATATATATTGGATGAGTGCGTAGAGAAGAATATATGATCTTTTTAGTATATGTATATATAACTAGGAAAATAGAATTATTTTATTGTGTATATATAAATATTAAAAAAAATGACACGAGGTGGGGAATGAGAAAGGAGGACGGAGAACGTATTCTTGTCTCCATTCCCGTCTCCATTTAGGTAGCGGGAAAAGTTTTTTTCCTAATCCTCGTCTTAAGGAAAGTCTAAACAGAAATTCTTCATTCTATCTAGACAGGTCCTCGAGGGACGGAGCTCCATGGACTTCTCCGAAGTTTAATATTTTATCTCCGCTCGATATTCATTCAACTAAAATTAAAAAAAAAAAAAGTCAAATTTCTTAATGGATTAATGTAGTGTAAACATTTGAAACCCATTTTACAATTACTTCAAAATTTAAAACTTAAAAATGTTTTCTAAAGTTAAGTTGGATATTTGCAAATTCCTTATTGGAAGGTAGTGAATTATCATGAATATATCTAATAAAAATATCAGGCCACAGTCTTGGACATACTGCCCTAAACTTTAAGGAACGAATTTAATTTTTCATGAGGATTTTATTTTGATGTTTGAATCAATGAAAAATTACTAATTATTACTAAAAATTAACAGTTTTTTAAAATTGATCTATTGTCAATAAAGTTTTCTACCTATTTCATTTTGGTCTCAAAATTTTGGATGATTTTGTTTTAATAATTGAATTCTTTATAAAATAATATATAAGGTATGCGATTGCTATCTTAATTATTGACTTTTAAGTCTATACGATTTTATTTCTTAAAATTTTCAAATATTCTACTTCAATTCTTATATTATGCCTAAAGAATGATAAATCTTTTAACAAGAATATAATATAGATAAGTCATCTTTTGTAGATAAATGCTTGAAGCCTCCGGTCAAATTATAGATTTAATTAAACAAAATTAAAAATAAATTATTAATAAAAAAAGTCAACTAAAATAACTATAGTTTCCTATGCAAGTTTAGAAATTAGAAGAACACTAGATGGACTAAATAAATATCAAAATAGTATTTAAAAGAGAAAAACAAATGTGAATATTCTAACTTTTATTTATATTAAAAAATCAAACTTCGACCCATTGATGAGATTATTATTAATTATTATTAATATGATGTATTCTTAGTATATTAATCAAGTTAATTATTATTATTATATATATATATATATAGTAATATTATATTTTGACCGAGTTGATTGAAAATTAAGGCGCAAAATAGTTTAGGCAATGCTAAACATGTAGGTTTAGAGCATTGAAATAAAAAATAATAATAATAAAACCATAGGGATTGAAGAAATAAAATAAACTTTGAAAATAGAGATTGTGTCAAGAACAAGTTATAGGATATTTAAAAACTAGCATTAGCTTTAATATCCTAAAATCACCTCATAGGGAAACGCCAGATTTTATTTTTTATATTACTAGTTATCAAAAAATACTCTAAGTATAATAATAATAGTAATATTATTATTATCATTGTAGATTAGTATTAGATAGTGATCTCGGTTCAGCGAGTCCTTTATTCCGTGATAAACTGTTGGCACCAATTCTCCATTTTGTCTCTGTGGATCGAGATATCAATGTAAGTGTCTAATACACTATATCAATAATAGACATCTATCATTGATAGAGTATATGAGTGATAGACCATACCGTTAATAAATGTGTATCATAATTGATAGATTATACCATTGTATATACGTATAGTAGACTATATTATCGATAACCACCTAATTTATCATTGATATAATATATCAACGATAGAGTCTATTGTGACAGAGTCTAATAAAATGACGCGAAAATATCTAAACAAAAATGCCATATTTTACAAAATTAAAATCATGCGGCTATATTTGTAATTATTACAACAATATATGGTGTCAGAATTTGAACCTATGTAAAAGAAAGAAGTAAAAATCTTTACCATTATCACCCATTAAAACTTACATTTATTTTACTTTTACCATTAACACCATTGATTCAAGGGAAGCAAAAGCTTTGAAGAAGGGTCAAAAAAGACATTCCACATGGATGAAGTCAAAGCAAATGGCTTTGCCAAATCGTAAAGCATGGCTTTTAAGTTTATACATTTATGAACTACCTTGACTTTAATCAGCGTGATGCATTTTCTATAGGGGTATTCTATAGATTTCTTTACGGAAATCTCCCTAGATTTTTGTACATTATATTAAATAAAAATTAATTCGTAAGTCTAAAGTTTTAAACAATTCTAATTAATCTCAGTTGATACATTGTTCATTGTCTTGAGGTTGGATGTTCAAATCCTACCACCATCATCCACGTTTGTTGTACTATAAAAAAAATATCTCCAATTAATTTGAAGAACGAGATTGTCATATTAATATGATTTTGACACGTAGGTATGAAATAATTTTGTTCTCCGAACTTCATGAATCAAAATGATAATTTACTCTTTTGCGAACCAATTTTGATAAACTTGAGTATAACTCAACTATAAGACACCTATTTTTTACCACGCGAGTTTGAATCCACACCCTACATTTTATATTTAAAAACTTTTTTTTAAGCAATATTCTTAAAAAATTAACTTTGACAAAATTGGTATACGCCCTTTGGAAGGAAAAAAAAAAGTAAGTATACGCCACACTCATAAAACCAATCACGTGTACCAATTATGTCAAAAAAATAATAATAATAAAATAAAAAAAAACCATAAGGTCGTTAAAAATAAGTTTAATATATAAGCAACTTTGCTTAATAAATAATTAAAAAAAATGTGTTTACTTTTAATTAACATAATTTTCACTCTCTAATCTAAAATTTTTTGATCCATCTCTCTAACTTTTTCCTTTTCTTTCTAAATTTATTTGTCTCACTTTTACTTTTATTTCAATCTCTAAAAATTTTATATCTAAATTTTTATTTTCTCTCCCACACTTTAATTTTATTAATCTGGAATGTAATATATATTTTCAGTTTGAAAACAAATGCTACTATAATTTTTATATCAAAATTATGTTTAAAGTCATGGAGAAGTAAACACAAACAAAATTATTATTAAACATTTTTTACAGAAATAATTATAATTTTAGAGTTAGAAATCAATCAAACATCCGAACTTAGCTCAGCGGTAATTAGCACCCAGTTATGAGATTACTTTTTTTTTTTTAAGTTCGATAATAAAAAAAATTATTTGAATCTCATTAAATTTTCCAACAAAAATATTGAATTTTGAAGCAACTAGCCTACAAAAATGGGGCATGAAAAATTCCCACTTAGAATTGGAAAATATCAAATAGAAGCTCATAAACCAAAGAGCCCAGAATCCCCCTTTCAATTTGAAGCCCTAATTCCACTTTCTCCTCATTACCAAACGCACTCCATTTTCCCTCTCTCTCCATTTCTCTCAAATAACCTTCGTTTCCCTTCCGCAACCAACACCGCCATTTAAGATCCTCTTCGTCCACTTCACTTTCTCCAGATTCCGTCAGTTCTCGCCGGAAAAATTTCACCAACAGCCCATCCGGGCGGCTCTCCGCCGTGCTGCAGATTTCCGAGAAGGAAATCGCGGCTTCCACGTGCTCTAACACCCGCCATGCCCTCTCTTTCAATACATCTTCTTCTTCTTCTCTTGATAATGCTTCTACCTGCAAAATGTTTCAGAGTTTGTTCCATATCAGATGTGGTTGAATACTTCCAACTTTTTAATTTTACAAAAATTTCTTATTATTTAATAATGGATTTTTATGCCTTAATTAAATTAAATTGATGAGTTTTTTTAGTTTCACACACATATATATGTTTGGTTAAAATTATAGGGGGGGTTAGCCAAAAGAAAAAAATAAATAAATATAAGGTAAAAATTAAAACAAATCTGTAATTCGATCAGATGAATTGAAATAATAGATTGAAAATTGATACAAGGTACAAAATGATTTTTTATTTTTTTACTTTTATTTTTTAAAATTTTAAATTTGAAATAAATTTTATACTTGAAAAACATTTTTACCTTTGAAAAAAGCATGTTAAAACCTAAATTTTGAGTTTTTTTTTTTAATTTATATTTTTTGTTAAAATTATTGGTTTAACTAGCAAGAAAAAATAAATATAATGTAAAAATTGCAACAAGTTTATGATTCAATTGGATGAATTGAAAGATAAAAATTGATACAATTTGACTAGGGTAAAAAGATGAATTTTTAATTTAATTTATTTTTTATTTTTTAAATTTCTAAACTTAAAATAAAACTTATACTTGAAAAACATGTTTACCTTTGAATTTTTTTTTTTCAAATCTAAATTTTAAAGTTTTAACTTTTAGAAAATTACGCATCTAATTTGAATAGTATATATAAATAACCAATGCTATCGTGTTACATTTCAATTAATTCAAAAAAATAAATATTTTATGTCATTGACCAAATCTTATATGTAATTAAAAACTGAGACTTCAAAGGTTGAAAAGAAGTAAAACAAATAAATAAAAAATTTAAACACGAAATTTAAGATTTAAGGGTAAAAGTTTAGAAATTAAGTCAAATATAAAATATTCTTTTGACCACTTTTGGTATCTTAAGAAGAGTTCTATACTATGTTTAATAAATATAAAAAGCAATATAATTTTTTATTATTATATTTACAAACAAAAAAAAACATTTTAAAATATCTGATCTCAGTCTAGTAGTCAGTGTGGTGGGCAACAATGTGATACTCTGCGGACAAATCTAGTTTTGTTTGAAGAGATTTGACTTGAACAAACGGTTCAGATTGCTCTTGGTAAATCTAAAACGAATCCTACGGTCACAAAAAGTCAACCAAGTTAAACAATGACGGGTGCGCAGTACTCAATTATGCTCACCTTTTTGTCGTCTTCCTCCAAATCTTCACCAGCACATAGGAAATATTTTTTCCCAACTTCGCCGTCGTCGGAGCAACCCCTCCACGACGGCGACGGCGAATCCTCCGCCGTGAAATCGCTCTCGCACCAACTGGAGCTCTTACTGCTAGTCGCCGTCGTGGTCGTGGTAGTCGTGGCGGCGGCCGTATTACAATCCGGCGAATCGGCGAAATCAAGCGGCGGAGCCTCCGCCGCCACCGTCGTCTCGTCGACCAAATCCCGGAACGATCTCCAGCGTATGATGTCCTTGATTTTAACAACGAAATCGCCTCCGATTTCTCTCTCATCTCTCTCTGTCTTCCCCAGCAGCCGCCGCGAGAGACTTCTCGGCAAAATCGGAATCGAGATCGAGATCCTCTTCACGGCGCGAATCGCCAGAGCTTTAAACGACGCCGTTCTGGATTTCGAAGAAGCGATTCCGCTACTTTCTTGGAGAAAATCTTTGAGCATTCTCGTCGATTTCGATCCGAGTACGTGATCCGTTTGGGGGAAAGGAAAATTAGGGGATGACAGAGTCGCCGCCATTGGAGCAGCTTCAAGAACAGAGCAATGAAGAAACGAAGAACTGCAGATCAGTGAGTGGGAATCGAGAAGCATAAGATTTATATAAACGGATTTGGAAAGGGGAAAGTGAGAGGCAGCTTCGGAGATGGAGTGAAAAATTTAGGGATTGTGAGATTCAGCCATGGCGGATTACAGATTTACTAGAACAGGAAAATTGGAAATAAACTATACGAAAAGGACAAAAAATGGCAGAGAGATTAAGTTGCAGAAGAAATTTGCCAGGATGCTTCGTCTTTTTTTTTTTTTTAATTAATTTACCCATGTGATAATTTTGTAGTTTTCGACTTGATGTTGTCAACCCGAACATAGCTTCAATCAAAAGGTGAAGCATTATGTTTGATTTTACGTGCTATGAGACGAACAACTGATCGATTGATTGAGATTTGAGTGTACATTAGTGTGGTTGGAGGTAGCAATGAAAAACGATGTTGTAAATTACTTAATAGAAACAAATAGATATGTGGGGATATTGGTCTCGTCGTGATGTTTGTTTTACACGCTTAAAACTTAGTTCAAGTCTCGGTCGAATTTGATATATAGAGCGAGAGCATATGTTTATATCTTATTTATCATTCGTGCAAACCAATTCTATCTCTGACTAAAAAATCGTAAGTTTGAATCTCCACCTCACATGATATTGTTATATTAAAAAACATTTGTTTTAGATCTATATTTAGTAGTATATATTAGATCTATTTTTAGTATCGGAATACAATTTTAAGTAAGTAGTTTCTTGATTGAACTACAATCTACTTATTCTAAGTGACTTCATCTTCATATGTGTTTCATTTTTGTCAAATTTTTTAATTTGCTTTTTCAAACTATATATAAACTTTTTCATCGCTAATCTATATACAAAATTTCAGTTGATATTTAAACTATAAAACTATATATATTATGTTATGGATCATAAATGGACTTGTAATGTGATGAACAGTAGAAGGTTAGAAGAATCAAGTCTCTTTTGAGGGATCGAAAGAATGACCGACCTTCACACTTATCCAACATTTTGGACCCGATAGCCCGACCTTCAGCAACGAACTATCCGACACTAAAACTGTCGGTCAAATACCTTATCAAATATTCAACCTATAAATAGAGGGCACTGGTCAAATTCTAACTTGATCTTAATATTAAGGTTAAACTAAAACTAATTTGAGTTATGCCGGTCTAAAGTGACACTTAAGCTCGTTCCAAGTCATTCCTTTAACCTTTCCGACCTTGATCGAAAAAAGTTGCATAAAATTGAGTTACTATGAAGGATTATTTTGAAATAATAAAGAAGATATTAAAAGATACATTTGAAACTTTCTAGAGTTTATAATATAGCCTTTAACTCTATTATTCTCCAACATCTTGAAGTTTTTTCTCTTACTCAATATTTCTCGTTCTAATAAATAAAAAGATTTACAAAATTTATATGATTTCCCAGCGTGGTGTGATCTCTTCAAAACTTGTTACTTGTTAGCATGCATCCCAAAATTATGAACTTATTTTAATTATTCAATATTTGCAATTATTTTCCTTTTAATTGGGTAATAATCACATTTTATATGCTCATTTAAGTTCATGTTCATCTGATAATTAGATGAAATTTACGAAAATTTTCCATCTCGCTTTGATTCTACAGAAGGAATCAGCTTCGACGGCCTAGATTTCGAGCTGAAGGAGAAGTAAGATGCGGCGTCGTTTCAACAGTGTCCCTGCCGATTGGCGACACCCATAAACCAATCGGCATTCTCACCCACACGGCCACGCCATTGGCCTCGTGCCGTCCTCCAAAAGCTTAAAGATAATGGCGGCACAGTACTTTGCCTCCTGTTCCTCCTCTTCTGTGCTTCGTCCTCCCCGCTTTTTCTCCGGCAAACGCCGATCATTCGCCGGTGAGTCCGATTAGGTGCAGAACCCACTTCTTTCTTTCTCTCGAATCTACAGTTTTCTTTCAATTTCGGGTTCAATTGGCCTGGCCCTCCCTGTTATCTTGTGTTCTTTCGTTCTGAATTTAAGTTTGAGGGTTCGTTCGGTGAGGTATTTGGGGGTTTCTAGCCTTCTACATTGCCCTTCCAATGCCCCTGAGTTTGTGTTGTGTTCTGTTTACTCTTCGTCTGGTGATTGAGAGTTTTGTTAGTGATATTTTTCTAGTTTTGTTTGAGATTTTTCTGATTTGGGTCTGTTAATTGCATTTGGCCTCTGTCTGAGGAAGTTGATTGGTAGATTGTTGTTCATTTCAAGCATGCAATTGCTGATATTCTAGGTTAGTTTGGTACTGATGAACTTTCTTGGTGATCTGGGTTGTTGATTGAACTTCTCATTTTCAATCGTTTCAGTTGCGGCAATGGGTGATGATCCGATAAAAGAATGGATTCTCTCTGAAGGGAAGGCAACACAGATAACAAAAATTAGTCCGGTTGGTGGTGGCTGCATCAACCAGGCAAATCGTTACGACACCGATGTGGGGTCTTTTTTTGTGAAAAGGAATAGGTAAGAACTCGTGATTCTTCTAATTAGCAGATGATGAAAAGAAGTTATGAACTGTGACAAAACTTCCTCAGGAGCATTGGACCCTCAATGTTTGAAGCCGAGGCTCTTGGTTTAAGTGCAATGTACGAAACCCAAACTATCCGTGTTCCTAAACCGTTCAAGGTAGTCGATGTGGCAACATTTTACCTTCTACTATTCACTCATAGTATGATCATAAAGTTGCATTCCATTCTATGACTAGAAATATAAACTGAACTTAGTCTACACATTACAGTTTGGGTCCTTACCTTCTGGTGGTTCATACATCATTATGGAATTTATTGAATTTGGTTCCTCTAGAGGCAATCAGGTGAGAAATGGGCCGTCCTCTTTTTCGTGGGTATCGATATGGTGAATATGGGTTTGGCAACAGAACTTCTAAATCTACCCTTTACTGGCCTCAGTCTGAGTTGGGAAGAAAGCTTGCTGAAATGCATAAAGCAGGAAAATCTGATAAGGGGTTTGGTTTTGATGTCAACAACACCATTGGCAGGTAAGTTCTCATGAGTTTTATCTGCTAGTGTTTTAAGCAGATGCATTTGCCATAGACAAGCACCATTATCAGAAAATTGAGTTCTTATTGGCTTTTATGTCTTATGTTCCAGTACTCCACAAATAAACACTTGGTCATCAGATTGGGTGCAGTTTTATGCAGAGGAAAGATTAGGTTTTCAGCTGAAGCTAGCACTTGACCAGTACGGCGATAGAACGATTTATGAGAGAGGTATGTCTCAAAAAGAGCAATGAGATTACTTTTTAGCAGTATGTTGACTGTTTTTTCAATTTTAGATTTGAGTAATAAAAAGGCTTTTATGCTCTTGCCATATACTCCAAAGTTAGTACGTGACTCTAAAAGGGGTAATGTCACTCTTGATTGCTTTAGAAGATATGGTATTAATTGATCTATTCTTTGTATAGACAGCTGCCCTTGGCTATCTTTCTGGTTGAACAATTTTTCTGCTATGAGAATGCTTCATGTAGTTTTTGCATTTAACAGGACAAAGGCTGGCAAAAAGTATTGGACCTCTTTTTGATAACGTCGCAATCGAACCGTGTTTGCTACACGGGGACTTATGGAGCGGAAATATCAGCTCCGACAAGAATGGAGAGCCTGTTATACTTGACCCTGCATGTTATTGTAAGTTCAACGTTCCTCATGCCTCATACAATTACAATTATATGCTTGGTTTCAAAAAGTTCCCAAGTACTATGCAAGTATCGGTTAGATTGAATCAAATTTCTTTGAAGTTGAAGCGGATACAGGAGATCTTAGGGGTAGATAAATTGAAGTTAAAATAACCCCACCACTAACTCGATTGGGTTTTTTTCCTTTTCCTCGTCCTTCTGTTTTTACATTTTGATCCAAAGAATTTACAGTGCAGGAGTTCAACATCTAACATTTGAAGAAATTCATTTACCTCTTTGGTTTCTATGGCTACATTTTTTCAGATGGACACAATGAAGCAGAATTTGGAATGTCATGGTGTGCTGGCTTTGGAGGTTCTTTTTATGATGCTTATTTTGAGGTAATATTATTTTCCAAGTTAATGAACTCTTGATTCCTGTTTAATGTTTGTTAATTGCCTCCTTCCCCCTCTTTTCCTGTCTTCTCGACATTGGCTCATTCAACTTGGAAGAAATAGAGCATCCCAATTATCTAGAAAGGACTGATTTTATTTTTTAAAACATTTGTGGTACCTGAATGGTAAACTATGAAGTATTATACGATTTTTCTTAGAATCCTTCATTGGGATGAGTCATAAAGAGTCGGATCAGACCAATGTCCCTTCATGTCCAATTGATGTAAATTTACACTACAACTAACCAACATAACTACCATAAGAAGTGAGATTAGACTAAGGATTTTGTTCTTAGCTTTCTGTTTGGAAATTAAACTTGTTTTCTAACCATTTCTTCCTTTGAGCTCTTGGCTAACTATATCTCCTAGTTTTTACATTTTGAGATTTTTGGCTACTTTGTTCAGGTTATGCCCAAGCAACCTGGGTTTGAGAAGAGGAGAGATCTTTATCTGTTGTATCATTACCTGAATCATTATAATCTCTTCGGTTCTGGTTACCGTTCATCTGCCATGTCTATAATCGACGACTATCTGCAGATATTGAAGTCTTAGGAATCAGTTTTCAAGTTAGGTTTGTTTGGTGGTTCATAGTCAATTTTGCTGCTGCCCTGTCGTACTTATAGCTGTACAGAATCTGTATCCGTTTCTCCCCTTCTAATCATGCTTCTCTACTTCTCTGTAAAATGCTCAATACATTCATGTATAATATCGTTTGCTTTAAATCCAAACTTACAATTTTAAGTTCATGTAAGTGTACATGATTGAACTAAAAAAAAGTGCATAATTGAGACAATGAGCGCGTAGCAGTTTACTTACTTATTTGAGTACTCTTGCATCGAAGATGAACGAGGCAGAGGTCAAGCATATATCCCTACAGATGGACTTAACCAACAAAATGAAGAGATGTATTATTTAAGTTTTAATCCACTGATTTTATCATTTCCAACACTATAATTCAGCTACATAGTTTACTAATGGTTGTAATCGCAGCAATAAAAAATACAACTTGAAGTACATCACGACCAGAGTTTATTTCAAATTCCAGCATGAAAAGGAATCATTTCATTGTAAAATGAACGGTAACAACAAAGTTAGTTATAAATGACCAATAAAAGGGGAAAGAATAAGAAATTAGAAGAATCCCCCCTACTTTTTCACTTACCTAGCTTGCATTGATCTTTCTCTTAGAGCTGCTGCAGAAGCTTCCTCTTTTTTCCTTCTCAGTCGATTTCTTGTTTTCCCACTCCTTCACTTTCTTCCCTTTCGTTTTTTGATGTAAGCGTAGAGATGAACAATGGGTGTTTCTTATACAGATACTGTCCTTTCAACCTCCTTTTCAGAGCCACCATTCAAGCGTTTTTTGGCTAATTGGTGGTCGTGAACAAAGTAGGAACTTGGATCGATTATCTTTTCCAGTTAATGCCTCAGGAACTACTGCCTCACAATCAAATTGTGCAACTTAACAAAATCCTCTAAGCTTAGCTCCTCTGGTCTTGACTGCAAACAAACCAAAGATAACGAAACCAATTAGTAGATTTTGAGGAACCAAAAAATTGGTTCAGTAGAGATATGCCTTACAGTTGCTGGAAGGCTAGAATATTCCAAAGCTCTTTCTATCTCAAGGGATGTGCATATGTGTTGAAGTGATTTTCGTAACATTTTACGCTTGCCATTGAATGCTGAGTTAACCTACAACATTTTACAAACCAAGGGATGTCAAAGGACAGAAGAGGATACATTAAGGAAAAGACCAAGATACTGTAACAAATTGATTTAGTTCATTAATTTAACTTTAAAAGTGTGAATACTGTGGAGATCATATATCGTTGTACTATTCAATAGCAGGATAGTCTGCAGCGATAGAGGTATATGGTAATAACATGGTTTTTGCCAAAACATTATAGTCTAGCACAGTTTTCCGCGAGTAGTAAACTAATAGGTATGAATTAAGAGCAAAATCAGTTTTCAGGAGCCAGGAAAGAAATATAAGAACCATTGAGAAGAAGCTTTTGGTGGAGGAAACTGCAGGATAGTCTGCAGCTTGCTTCAGCTTGAAAGATACAACGGCCGCGTCAACCTGTACAAGTGTAAACAAGTGGACATATCAGTTCAAATAACAGCATACTCTAGTCGAACATTTTATACAAGAAGCCCAAATTTTACTGAAGAATCAAATTACGAATGAGGTTCGAAGTAATTCCATTTGTCCAACATTTTTCTCTACGTTGAAGTTTCATTGTCCTTTATTTTTTATCCACCTCATTCATCTGGCCGAAAAAATTTAGAAAGAAGTTCCAAAAGATGTTTATGGTCATTATTTGAAGGAACTTCCCGTAAAATTAGAAGAAAAATAGTAAGTAAACTAGCAATGTTATCTCACAATTATAAATCACTTACGTTAGGCTGAGGAAAAAAGTCTGTCCTTGGAACTTTAAATTTGAATTCGGGATCTGGAAAAGAGAGTTTATTTATAACCTCATACAAAAATTGCAAGTCTTGAAGATAGATATATGCTGTTGGTTATTTGTCGTTTAATGCAACATTTGGTGGTTATTTATTTTATTTTTCATCAAAGACTAATGTAGCTAATCTCTATTTAAAGCATTTTACAAAGTTTAACTTATAGACACGTCTAAATCATTGTATTATGTACATTTAAATCATTGTATCATGTAGGTTGTCGAGGTTTAGTAATTTGGATCAAGTATCATTTAATTAGCCATTTTTAGTCTTCAACCAAATGATGATCTATATCTTAGTGCATTCATAAATTTTGAAGCACGCATCAGTAACACACACAAAATTGTGAACATTATCTATAATCATTGCAGATGTCTATAAACATCTATAGCACATGTCAAACAACTCCCTCTATGATTTATGCTAATTGGGGACCGCTTATTAATTCAGTGTAATTTCGTCTTTCATATTTTTCACTTTTTCTTTTATTGTTTCACTCTTTCGAGTTTGTATCCTTGAAGACTTGTATTATCTTTTCATTATTTCAATGAGAAGTTTTATCTTTGTTCAAAAAAAGGACAGGTCAAACAACAAAAATTTTCAATTTGGAAATAGTACGACTTGTGGAATACCTGAATAGAAATTAACAAATATATTGATGGGTCGATATTCAGATGTTCTCAGGGATGCTTCCACTAAGCGTAGAGCCGTCTCCTCCTAATAGTTATAGCAAATTAGCAGTACTCATAGAAATGACTGAAGATACCATAGCTAATTGTCAGGATCCAACCATATCCTAAACCTGTTCTTCAAAGCTAAGCAATATTACCTGGAGTAAAAGAACAACCTCCGAAAAAATTTCTCCCATTGGAAGAAGTTGTTTAATTACATCTGTACTTATATTGAATGGTATGTTGGAGACTACCTGCAGACAAGAAATTCAAGTAAGCTAATTTAGAATAAAATAGTTCGCTTTAAATGGATACAATATCTGGATCATAAACTAAACCATACTTGAGTTTCCCAAACAATGTATTAAAACATGACAAACACTTTATGAACAAAACAAAAACTTTAGCCATTACATAATAATAAGATCACAGAAAATGGTTACAGCACTGGGCATACTCTGACATAAAATAAGCAAATATGAATAGTTAAGAAGCATATCCATTAGATGTACTTACTTTTGCAGGTTGTGATTTTGAATCTGACAACTCCATACCTTTGAGCAATGACATCATATGTGAACTCACATGACATTTAACAAAGTCCTCATTTAGAACCTGCATATTTTAGTTGGAATAGTCACAACGTTGTCTATATTGTAAGTGTGTGTTTAACGTGCCTTTCAAAGTATTTGTGGAGGACTAAAAAGTATTTTTCAAAAATTGGTAGTGTTTGATTAAATTTTAAAGAGTGCTTTTAACACTTTTTAAAAATATCGAAGTAGTTTAAGAAATCTTTAAAATAGATAAAAGGTACTTAAACTGCCTTTAGATGAAGCATTTTATTAGTTTTCTTCCATAAGTTTTCACCAAAAGAAAAAAAAAAGTAATTTCTTAAAAACTCTTTTTTCGAAAGGCAGCCCAAATATACCCTGAGACTAAAACGTAGTAAAATTTATATCGATCTACACAAGATTTACTTGGTGACCAAATTATCAGTGGCTTTCTCAGTTGACTTCATAGTGAATAAAATAAATAAGAAGAAATGAAATACCATATAGGTGTGATGTTTTCAAAAATGCAAGATGTTTTTGTGCTACCAAGTTATCAAAAAAGAAAAATAATATAATTTACCTTCAACCTGTTTGTGCTAGCAAATCTTTCATCCACAACAGCAGCCATGTATGGATCCTGTACGATTAACATAAAATCCAAAATAAAGTAAAACGGGATATTAGAATGCATAGTAGGAGTAAAAACTAAACCTGCATCTGAGAACGAAAACTTCAAGTTCTTGTTTACATTGAGGACAGGATATTTTAAACAACTCCAAACAAACATTCTACCATTTGAACATTTGATATCTAACACTAACAGAAATCGCACATGAGACGAAAAAGCTAACCTTCTCAACTGCAAGCACTGTGGCACCTGAGTTAATAAGGATATTGGTTAACGACCCTGTTCCAGGCCCAATTTCTAAGACCACATCACCCTCTTTAACATTAGCTGCAGCAGCCAGCTGCTGGTTAATTGAAGAGTTCAGCATATAATGCTGCAAACATACAAATTTGCCAACAAGTGAAGGAAGGATATCATAGACTACTCTTAATGTGGTCCAACCAACAGCTACTCATCTTTTGAGAAAGGATCAAATCAAAATTGCAGTTTACGGTATTTAACACATTAATTCATTCCCAATACCCTCCAACGTCCCATGTTCAAACCCCATATCGAAAACTCAATAACTTAAAACCTTGTGGTCTCCTAGGGCTAGCTTTGGATGTGTGAATCAGTAGGATTGGCCCTGGCATAATGCAATGAATGAGGCCAAAAAATTCATTTCCTAAATAATTTATATGAAGACAGAGAGAATAAACGTTTCCAAAATTATCCAATCCTTGGTGTACACTCAGAAATCCAGACAAATTAGAAACTGGGTATTACTAATTACATTATACATTTTCCAGTTTTCCGAGTAATCCAAACGCAGCTCAATGAAACTATCATTATACATTACAGTACGGTATTGAAGAACTGACCTGGCCAAGAGATTTTCTGGGCATTCGGCCTTTGGAATTGAGAGCTCTTAGAGTGGAATGGTAATCATCTGGATTGACTCTTCCTCCGCTCCTTACTGTAGCAGCTGAACAAGCCACGAACGGAGTTTCTCGGCGTGCGCCGGCGGTGGCAGAACTCACCGGAAAATAGAATTTAGGGCTCTGTGTGGAGCTCACTGGTGAAATTGGCGGGAGGAAGAGATTTGGAAGTGACGGTGCCGCCATTTTCTCACTCCCCACAACTCCCTTCTCCCAAACGGACAATCGTAGATAAAAAGGATTTCCGAATTGAATAAAGATAAAGATCTTCATTAGTTAATGCCAAGAAAAATGAAAAATATCTCATTAAATTTTAGTCTTTTTTTCTTATTGACATATCAGAATTTAAATTCCAATTGTGTAATTATATAATTATGTTTTCATTTAGTAATGTTGTTTCACCAAAAAAAAAAAAAACTCACAATATATGTTTTATTTGTTAGAGAATTTGAATTTATGATTTCGAGAAAGAGGAGATGCATTTTCGACCTCTTACAAGTCTAATTATCTACCGATATAACATAATATTAATAATAACATTGTCAAATGTAGGTGGTTGTTTCTTGTCATGAGCACATGCAACGAAAAGATCGAGAAATAACGAGTAATGAAACAGTTCATATATTGACATTTTGTGGGCATTTCCAAATTTATGCTTTGTTTTTCCTATCATCCACTAATCATATTGTGTTATATGATCAATCTTTATAATTTTGAAATAGAAATATGAAAGAATGACCAACTTCTCTGTCAAATTTACCTTCCAGTACCAACCGAAAGAGAAGAAGAACAAAACAAAATAAGGGAATCATGAGGCACAGTGACTCCTATCTTTAATTGATGGCAATTGTTAGTTTTGTTTCTTTAATTAAATATCTCTCTTTCTTTCCTTTTTTAGTTCGACAAGAATGGAGCCGTAGAAAAATTCAAACCTCGTACTTTAAAAAAGGTAAATAATGTTTTGACCAACCAAACTTAGGTCATTAGTTTTTTTTTTTTTTAGTAATTTCTATTATAATTATATTATATTTTGTTAAATTTGGTGAACTAACTCTAATATTTAATAATAACATATACATAAAAAAGTAATATTTTCCTACTTTTTTTTTAGAACATAATATTTTCCTACTTACTTGGTATAGCTAAGTTTTTTTAATTAGTTAAAATGGAATCTATCATTAGTGAGATTGTTTACAAATGGAAGCCACCATTTAATGAAAGACAACACAATTAAATACAACAATTAGTTGACCCAATAGGTAACATGTTTGTCTTAACCTTATTTAATATGGACAATCGATGCTTCGGTTTATAATATTATTTTGTTCTACAACTCTATTCTTTATCCAAAAAAAAAAAAAACCTATCTTTTTTTCATCCATCCCTAAATTTTCTAATTTTTGTAAAATAATATTGAAATATTACAGTTTATTAATCAACATAGAATTTCACGCAATTAAATTAAATTAAATGGGCATATGATACGCAAGCATCGATGAAGGGAATATATATAACTTTAACATTTCTCCTTATCATGGTTTATGGTTTGATCCTGCAGGTTTCTTGTTCTAAAATAAATATTGAAAAACACACTTAAAATTCTGACAATCTCTTTTGTGTAATTATGTTTTCCATAAATTTGAACATAAACTTTTTCACCAAACACGAACTAGCTCGATTAATCAAAATTTTACAAAAATTTTATCAAATTTGAACTCAAGTATCTATCCATCTCTTATCCTCTAGTTCAAATTTCTCTCTCAATTATGTAATTAATTAACGAAGAAGTTGAAGCTCCAAAGCAAGTTGAGAGATGGTTTCCCAAAGTGATTTCCCTATCCAAATCAAAATAGAACCAATCAAAACGACACAGTTCCGGAGCCCACAGATGACGGAAAGTATAATTCTTCATCCAATTGCTATATTCCAAATATTAACTCTTTGTTTTTTTTATTAATTACTTTATAATTAATTTTCCTCGCCGGATTTTTATATTATAATTTAACGCTCCGTTTCCGCAAGCCGACAAAATCGAACGGCCCGTTTTGTGTCGGCTTCCTCGTGTACTATTCGAGCTGCCAAGCCAAGCCATTTAGCCACGCTGCTTTCACTACTCTAGACTTTTCTAGCTATTTAACATAGATTATTGACCTCTTTTTAGTGAATTTGAAATATAATTCAGATCATTAAATCATTTCTATAACATTTTCATTAAAAATATATAGTCTTGACCAACATTGAATATTTTTTAGAATTTAATTGACTGTCGATTTTTCATCGGTGATCAAATTAGAGATAGATCATTGTCAGAATCAAAGTATTTTCATTAACAAGTTGTAACGAAAAAATATTTTCAAATATGCCTCTCAATTAGTATACATGTTACATGAAGTAGAAAATTGAGAATGATTCGAGTTGACGTTATTTATACGTAGTATATTGTTGAAGTTGTTTCGACGCTCAAGTTAACTAATAACATCCAGAGATGAGCAAAAGAAAGAGTTTTACTCTGTGAGATTTTATATAACATACCATGATTTAAAAGAAGCCCTACTTATACTTAATTTTGAATGGTTGATATAATTACGTAAAAATGATCCCAACATTTTTTATTTTTGCAAAAGTACTTTTAGATATCTAAAATCACTTAGAAAAATGCATTAAATACATTCTAAATTAGTAATCTTAAAATAAAAAAGTTTAGAAAAAGTGTATTATTTTTCCAGAGTCATCTCAAATGCATCTTTCGGGGTTGAATTCCCCTTCCTCTTCCTTACGACGTACTCCAATCGTACACCATTTGGCTTATAAACATAAATTTGGAAACCAAATAACATCTCTAGTGTTCATTTAATGTTTTATAATGGATTAAAACCAGATTATTTGTAAGTTATTGAAGGAATCAAGATCCATTTAGGTACCAAAGAATAATGCATATAAGAATTAGAGTTGGTAAGGCTTTGGGAAAAATCCAATCTTCAACTTTCTTTGCTTCTTGTCTTCTTCCCTCCGGCAACCTGGTGGTTGTTGCAATTCTCCTCCCCCATTTTAGCCTCACAAAAGCCCAAGCTTGGCTGATTATGACATGTCAGGAACTACATATCAACACATCAAAATGTTAAAAACACAACAGCACTCGAGATACTAATAAAAATAATTCTCTTCATCTATATACCCATGATCTCTCATTATTTGACTAATGCGGGACTCTATTCGCATTCCCAACACAAAATGGATTAAAAATATTTATTTAATTTATCTGCCTACGTTGAAATGATGATTCAGCCTCTCATATGACAATTTAACGATGAAGTGAGACTAAATTGTTAAATAAGTTTTTTCCATAAAACCAAACAAAACCGAACACTCACTTGATCGAGATGGGTATATGCCCACCAAAAGATCCATTATTTTCCACGTATATAAACCTTCAAATTTCTTCTTCTCGAAAAAACAACCAAAATTTTAATCCAACGACTTTGCCGATGGCCGCCGTTAGAGAAACCAAGAGATCCGCCGCCTCCCCCTCCGCCGCCGCCCGCTGCAAATCACAGTCACAACCCACGGCCAGGCGGTTCGTCGGAGTCCGGCAGCGGCCGTCCGGCAGATGGGTGGCGGAAATCAAAGACTCCTCTCAGAGAGTCCGCCTCTGGCTGGGCACTTACGACTCGCCGGAAGAAGCCGCCAGAGCCTACGACGAGGCGGCCATCGCCTTACGCGGCGAGAATGCGAGAACCAATTTCGTGTCTCCGGCCGCCGGCCGGTCACCGGAGGCCAAATTTTCCGACATCGGCGTGCTGAAAGCGAAGCTGAGCAAGAATCTGCAGGGTATTATAGCGAGAACGAGCGAACAGAGCAAATCGCTGAAAAGCAGAGTGAGCGATCGGTTCACTTTCGCGAACATTTTCAATTTCCGAAGCTACGAATCGGTAACAATGGCGGATTTGAAGGCCATGGACATGGACAAGGTGGGCGTACAGCCGAGCATAATCGTGCCCCATGTGGAAACCGATGAGCCGGATTCGTGGCAGAGCGGCTCCGGTGACGGATTCCGGCATCTGGGGTTGAGCTCCGATGCGGCGGAGGGCGGCGGAGAGTGGTGGGTGGATCGATTGTTGGAAGATGGTTGGTATTGTGACGAAGGAATGAAGAACAAGAGGTTTAGGGTTTCTTCTTCGGTGGTTGTTCCTCCAACTTTTAGTGGGTCTCAAAACTATGGTGAAAGTTAGTTAATTTTTTTTTTTTGGGGGACAAATTTGAATTGGGATTAAATGGAATTTAGCCTTTGTTGGTCGGATTGAAATTATATAATGTATATTATTTTAAACGGAAATTTGAGAGATCACACACTACAAGATCTCCGACTATGCTCAGCTTGACTTTCCGCTCTTGCAATCTCTTTAGACAATGATTTCTTGGTTATCGATGTCATGTCTCGAAAGTGGTCTTAATTTGAGAGTCTTTACTTTTTTTCGAATTTTAGTGGGCCGTTGAAATAACTTTGAATGTAACTCTTGGACTCAAATCTCATTTTATTTACAGCTCGGGATTCGGATTTATTCAAATTTGGTAATAAGTAAGTTATTAGTCCACTGTGAAACTATAATAGCTATTAGACTAACTTGAGTTCAGGGCCAAATTACCATTTAATCTGTTTTAGGTTTACTTGGATTGAGACTAGTTTGTATTATCAAACAACTATAAAAAAAACATGTGACAATTTATGATTAATCGAAATCTATCACTCACGGTAATATAAGTGGAGACTATAGAAACTTTTGATATTGAATGGAGGAAGATGTTACACTTGTTATAGATCTAGATTGAAACGTCTAGAACGACTCCTCATTCCAGCCATTCGTCTCTTCACTCTCGAGATGATTGAGTTTAATTATAACAGTTTTATAAATTTAAACAGCAATCATTATCAATTAGATTGAAATTTTAAATTGGTGTCATTTTCTCCATCTATGTTACAAAAGTTGAAACTTTAACCTCAAAAAAAAAAAATTGCAGTCCAAAAAAATTACATAAATTCAAAATTTACAACTTCAAACTTCCCTTAAAATAAACTTTTTTTAATTGTGTTCAACCAAAACTTGTTTGTTTTTTAAATGGAAGAATAACTAGTACAAAAATATTAATTCTTAAAAAAGTGATTGCATTGAAGTTTCCAAATTCCAAGTGACTTCTTCATACTCCAATTATGAAATGATGCCATAATGGTTCATATTATGAGGATTGGCCCACTATATGTTACTTAAATAAATTGCAATTTTTCATTACTTTAATATTATTATTATTATTATTATTATTTTTTATAGTAGTATTTTTGTAAGTTTCATTGTCTTGATTAATCTCATGTTTGGATTCATGATTGATGCCATTTGACTTCTTTTTCTTGTATCTTCTATCTTGGCTATAAGTAATTAACATATACTTGACTTAGTAAATAAAAGTAATAAATAGTAAACATAGAAAAAACAAGTTAGGGTTAGAATAAAGCAATTGTCTCATATACATACTTTTTATTTATTTATATATATATATATATATATATATATATATATATATAAATAAAAGCAATGAGCAATTGTCTCATATACATACTTTTATATATATCAAGACATTTTAAATGATCAAACCTGTGGGATAGATATTTTAGAGTGCGTTTGGTTGACAGTAAATATGAAAACAAGGTATTCAATGAAAAATGATGTTGTATTTCTTATTTCCATTGTTTTCATGTATGTGTTTGTTGGTAGATTTTAAAATAAAATCTCAATTTTCTTTTTTTTAAGGAAAGCACAAAACACGATTACATCAAAAGTCCAAACATTCCGCAGCAAGCGCATCCGAAGCCTCCATCGGCCATTCCTCTAACAAAATCGAATGTTCTCGACGCAGTAATGCTCTTCGCACCAAAATGGGAGCAAATTCATTTCCGTTTCGTGAAACTGTAAGTGGCATGAAGTAAGTGTTAGCTACCAACTAAATATGTTGTTCAATCTAATATAATATAATATTAATTAATTAATAGTCTCGTTACAAATTTGTATAGTATTATTATTCTACAATGTTATATAAATCACAATATATTATATTTTTTTTAATTTAAACAAAAAAAATAATTTATAACCTAAAATAACATATTTATCAAAATTTTATAATTTTTTCATGTAATTTCACATTTTAAAGTTTCAAATTCAAAATCTAAAAAAAACATAAAAAAAATGTTGTTTCCATCATTTACTATTTTTTGGATCACTGAATTCAGAAAGCAATTTTTAAAACAAATCTGTTAAAAATATACATTCAATAAATTTGAAAATAAGAAATTGGGTTCGGGTATTTTGAGTGATTAAAAATTTAAATACATTCAAACATCTATCTCTCTTCTTATTTATTGTTTTTTTTTTCAAGTTTTTTTTAATAGATAAATAAAAAAAATATAATATTTCTTTTTTCAAGTTGATTGTATTTAGAATGATCCCAATCATCATTACTTTAACTATCATAATAAGTTATGTTACATTATTTATAATTAAAACAAACAAATATTAAAACCATGCCTCGACCAAGGGGCTTCCGTTGACGTTTTTCAAGTGACTTGAGAATTCATGTATGTAATAATGTATTAATTAATCATGAGGTCTATTGAACTTTGCTTTTTATTATTATTATTTTTTTTAAATTTTCCATTTCATTGCTTTTTGTAATTCTATAATTATTTTTCTGGGTATTTTTCGCCAACTTTATTTTTTATTGATTAATTTCATGTGCTCAATCATCATAGATTTGGGGCACTATTGCTTATTTATTTAATATAAATATATGTCAAATAATTTCCCTTTTTAATTTCGAAAAAATATATAAAATATATGGCAGAAATTGTGACTCCCAATCGGTTGGCTAGTACGGTGATGTTTTCGTTTATTGTTTAAAATAAAATTTCTTCTGATTTTTCCCCAGCATTTTGAAAAGTATTATTTTATTATTTTTACTTATAAAATGTACGATAGGTAAAATATTAAATATAACCTAACAATTTTGAATATTTATTTAAAAAAACTAATTTTCATATAAAACGTTTATTTTTTTCTAATTTAAACTTTTAAAGAACAAGCTAAACATGTTTTTATTTACTTTTTTTTTTAAATAACAATAAACAATTATCGAATGCAATTCTACTTTTCTTGATTGAAAAATAGCAGACGATAATTGATAACCAATAAACATGAACGTTACTAAATGATTATTTAGACTCCATCTTTTAGCTTCTCTCCATTTTCTTGACTTTGAAAATATTATTGAAAACGATGAAACAATATTTTTCTTCCCCTTATTTTGACTAATGATCCGATCTCGGAAGAGACGATCTCAATTGAGAGAAAGCAACAAAATCAACCACCAAATTGATCAAAATAAAACCAAACTACTAGCTTCATTTCTTGGTCTAGTATTTTACACTCTCTTTTTGATATTATGCATCATACATTTCTTTTGTAATATTATATTATAAAGGAGGGGGAGTGAATTCAAACTTAAAAAGTTATATTCTTGAAGTAATTGATATCTTAAATTATTGAAATTTAACAAATGGTCAATATTGACCCTTTTCTTTTAATCAACAATTTACAGGTGTTTTTACTTTTTTGGAAAGCAATATAATACTAGAGTTTTTATTCATCGTTAATTTTCCAATTGCAATAGAAATTATTAATTTTCAGATTATTAATTTCTATTACTACTGCCACAGAAACAGAATTTGTCTACTTATAAATATAGAAATGCTATTTATAATATTTATTATTCCATTTTTCAATGAAAACATTTGGTATTTATATTTATTGTACAAAAAGAAGTTTCCAGTGACCAATAATACATATTTCTCACACGTGGGGTAAAAAGTGACTCGTACGGCATATTATGGAAAATAGATGGTCTCGCACGTGTAGGACGCCACGTCATTATATGGATAAGGATGGAGCTTGAAATATTATCTGCCCAATCCTAACCGTTGGTTCCTAAGTGAAGATTTAAATCCTAGTCGTCCAATTAAAGGCTCCCTCTCCAATTATAAGTTTAATTCTATGGGACCATTTTTTTTATAATATAAATAAATATTATATTTATTTTAATTTATATATTCTCAACTTTTGATCAAAATCTTCTCTCGTCCAATTTCTACTTTTAAAATATTTATTTTAATTTATATATTTTCAATTTTGGTTCATTTTGGTGTTTATATTTTCAAAGCATTCATTTCGGTCTATATATTTTTATTTTTATCTCGTTAATTATTTTGATCAAAATTTTAGCATATACTCCACTAACTAAATTTTTAATATGTTGTCCCAATTTTGTATTTAAGGATTTATATTGAATATAAATTCGTGTAAAATTTTACAAATAGAGTCACACTTTTTAGAAATACCGATACCAAAATGAATGTTTTGAACATGCATAAACTATAATGAACAAAGTAGAAAATCCATAGACTAAAATAAAACAAATCAAAATTACAACGACAAAATATTATTTGAACTTAAAATAAAATCTAGGTTGATAATGAAATGTTATAAATATGTCAGTCCGAAATTATGGACAAAACATTTATAATACTTCACATTTATGGATATAATAAAAATTTTGATATATATATCAATATCATTGGTAATTACTGTTAAAAAAATTTATAAAGAAAATCATACTTGATAAGTTTTATTATAATACAATTTCATTTTTGCAACTATGGCCATGCCACTAATATCTAATTAGGTAACTGCAAATCTAATATAATTTACCTAAAATATTTGAAAAAATAAAATTAAAAAGGTATTTGCAAACCTAACAAAAATTGCAACATTAAGTTTAAATAGATGTTTTAAGATAATTTCAATTAGTAAAAAAAATGTATAGTTGTTATAGTTAATTAAAGTGTAGTGTAAATATATCAATTTTTTTTCTTGACACAAATGATTCGAATCTAAATCTTGGGTGAACCTTGCAAATACCTTAGGATAATATATAGATATATCATTGATTTTTATTATTGTAAATAATAAATATAAACGTGTACGTAAATTTTTGAATAATATGTGCATATATATACATGTATAAATAGAGCAATTATTTTAAACAAAACACTATTATTGTAATTACTTTTGTAAAATACACACTTATAAATATTTAGAAAATTATACCAACCACCAAAAATTTCCCTAATCATGGAATCAGTCAAATAATGATAATAATAATAATAATAAAATACAATTTTAAATAAATTTCACCTCTTTATAATTTAGAAGAAACAAACCATGACTATTATAAATAAATTAATTTTGTTTTTCTTTTAAATGAAAAAAACTCATCAAAGTTATTTAGAATAAAAAATGTCATAGTAATTAGACAATATTATCATTTAGTTTTGGAATTCTAACTCTTCCAAACACTATGATCTTTAAACTTAAATATTGTAATCAAATTTTAGAAGTCAATGTTAAACATGATGAAGTAGTAATCATATTTCCCCTCTCACATGCTTCATGCGCATTATAAGGATGACAAAACAAAGAAAATCCTTTTATATATAAAATTAGTCTATATATAATAGATAATTTTTTATTTCAAAGTCAATATTTATTTTTAGTTCATTTGATTTATTTAACACCGATAACTGTATTAAAAGTAACAACAAGCCATAACAAACATGACTATAACTCAACGATAAATGACATATACTCATTCTTGAGGTGCGGAAGTTCAAATCACCACACTCCTACATTTATTATACTAATAAAAACAACGAGCAACATAAAATACTAAAAAAAGATTGAACTCATTTTACGCTCCTATTTCAAAACTTATGGGATGAGAGATTGAACTCATAACCTTTGATTGTGATATATGTCAATTACTGCTGAAACATGCTTGCGTTTGACTTTTCTCCCAAGTTGATACATGCATTTGGATAAAAACAAATGAGGTGTAAATTTCAAACACTTTTTTTTAGTACAAATTTCAGCAAAATTGAATATAAGCCCTAGGTTAATTTTTTTCAAAATACTCCCAAAATTTCATGGTTGGTTTCTAGTAGACAAGTTTCAATTTAATCCCAAAATTTAGAAATGGCTCCCATAAAAAAATTTGAAAATCTTAAAAGGTTTATTTTAATCTTTGAATTTGTTCCAAAAACATATTTTAATACTAATTATTATTATTATTATTTTTTTATCGAAATCAACCTAGTAATTGACATATATCTTCAACTACGAGGGTGAATTTGATCTCATACCCTGCATGTTTTATAAAAAAAAAATACTTTAAAATTTTCAAAATCTTTTCACGTTGTTTTATTAGAGTTGAAGCCAACTCCAAAATTTAGGATATTTTGCACAATTCAACTCAGATTTTTTGTAATAAATAATTTAAAAGTTAAAACTTTTCAAAATTCAGGATTCAAATTCAAATCCTAACATAAACTTCAGAAGTTATTTATTTATTTATTTTTAATCTAAAATTTGTGTGTGTTGTTTTATTTACAGTTAAAAAAAAAGGGACAAAAATATCAAATTTTACGCTCTTCAAGATGTAGGAAGTGAAGAACTCTCGCGCTCTCTCTCTCCGAAACATCCATATTAGCTCCTTCAAGACGAATCCCATAGTAAAGTAATCGTTTATCAGACAGAATCTCAGGCGACGCGACAGTGGGGCTGACATTTTTCTCCAACCAGAGAGAGAAAGACGAAGAAATTGCTGCCAGATTTGAAAGAAATTTGATTTTTGAATGCGATTGTCCTATCGGTGTCCGTTTCTGTTAAAAAAAAAAACCCCCCAGAACTTCCCCCAAGCTTTTCAAACTTCCGGTTTCTCGATCCCCTGTTTCTATGTCCTTTCGTCGTTTTCGGGAGCTGTTTTTCGACCGTTTTCCCCCCATTTTAAGAAGCAGTAGATTGCTTCTGGGGTTTCTTGAATCTGCGAGATTGCTTCTTGGATCAATTCGAACAATGGGTCTCCAAGATCGAGCAATTTTCTGATCACTGTGGAGAGAAAAATTCTGGGTCTGGTCTCACAGTAGCTCATTTCTCACTCTTTGCTTAGAGAGAGAAAGTTGGGGGGGGGGGGTGTTTGAAGAGCAAGCTCTATTTGGTTACTTTTCTTGAAGGTATGCCCTTGAAATTTCCATTTCGCTTGTTTTTCACTTAGTGAAAAGTAGAGATCTCACCCCTTTTTAGCTTTTTCTACTGTGTATAGCAAAATTGCTGCTTCTTTTGGCTGAATGTTTATCTGGGTATTGATGGGTTTTGCCAATCTGTGTTTTGCAGGTGAAGAAGGTGGTGAAAGACTGGGGAAGGAGAAGCATTTGGTGACTGTTATGTTAATCATGCTGGAAATCTTCCAGTTCTAAAGCAAATCATATCAGTTCAAGGTATTCTACTGGCTGGACCCATCCGAAAAAACAACTTTATTTCCTCAAAACATCCCAAGTTTCCTACTAAAATTTTTCATAAAAGAAAGGGAAAAAGTTCAAACACTGTCTTATCTTCAAAGTGAAGTCTCTTTCAAGCCAAAATCAGCTGGTTTCCATATGGGAATACAGCTAAGACAGGCTCCAATTCATCTCTTTCTTTCCATGTAATTTGAGGCATTAACTATGGATGGGGACCAAGTGGCAATAAACTTGCCAAACAGGACATCTTCATGGTAGGAAAAAATGAACCTAAATGGTCCTTTTGTTTCTCTAAACTGGTTATTCAAGTCCTTGGTTTTGTCTAATGTTTAAAGGTTGTGTCTTAAATGCTGACTTCTTTATTGGACGGCTCTGATTAGCCAAACTGCTTTCCCTTTCAGTCAACTACCTCCTTTATTTATGGTAAAACTTTTACAAGGCATTTAATGGCTTGAGGGAAGATAACCCATGTGGCAGCTGTTATTTACTCTAGTTTTGTGTTTTCAATTTGTCTGTTCATTGTTTTCAGCAGAAATTTTGAGCTTTCTTTGATCATACAAGATTCCTGAAGTTCTTAATATGTGCCTATATGCCTTTTCAACTACAAATTTTGTGTTTATATTGCAACTTCTCCAGTGCCGTTCGATGCAAATATTGTTGTATTCTGCCTTTCTGTCCTTTGGGTAATTGCTTAATGCTTAGGCTGTATCGTTTTGTCTGAATTTGTTCTGATAGTTTAGCTCTGTGCTGATCAATTCATTTCCAATTGGAGAATCATGGTGGAGGACGGTACGAATGGACGTTCAGGGGACTGCCAGTCGACTGAAGATTGGTTGTTGCGTGCGCAAGAGCTGGTTCTGATGGCGCTACATAAGGCCGTGGATGTCAAAGTGTTTCCTGGTAGGTGGAAGATGATTATTTCGAAGATGGAGCAGCTCCCGTCCCGGTTATCGGATTTGTCTAGCCACCCCTTCTTCTCCAAAAATGCTCTCTTTAAGGAGCAATTGCAGGCTGTCTCGAAAACATTGGAAGAAGTAGTTGAATTAGCAGAGATCTGTCTGCAAGAAAAATACGAAGGGAAGCTTCGAATGCAAAATGACCTCGACTCTTTATCCGGGAAGTTGGACTTAAATTTGCGAGATTGTGGCCATTTGATCAAGACAGGAGTACTAGGTGAAGCGACTCTGCCTGTATCGGTTACCGGTTCTTCGACTGAACCCGAGTCTACTGACCATAGAAATGTGAGGGAGTTGCTTGCCCGGCTGCAGATTGGGCACTTGGAGGCCAAACACAGAGCTCTTGACAGCCTTGTTGAGGTCATGAAAGAGGATGAAAAGACCGTCCTGGCCGTCTTAGGACGTAATAACATTTCCGCTCTGATCCAATTGCTCGCTGCAACATTTCCTTGCATTCGTGAGAAAGCAGCAATGGTTATTTGCTCGATTGTGGAATCGCAGAGTTGCGAAAATTGGCTGATCTCAGAGGGTGTTCTGCCGCATCTCATACGGCTTGTTGAGTCTGGCAGTCCTCTTTGTAAAGAAAAGGCTGCAATTTCCCTCCAAAGGCTATCAACGTCAGCCGAAACTGCCCGGGAAATTGTTGGTCACGGAGGAGCTCAGCCACTGATCGATATCTGCCAAACAAACAATTCTGTGTTACAGGCAGCAGCTGTATGCACTTTGAGGAACATGTCAACCATTCCTGAGGTTAGACAATCTCTAGCCGAGGAAGGAATCGTCCCGGTAATGATCAATCTCCTTGGTAGCGGAATTCTGTTGGAGTCCAAAGAATACGCAGCGGAATGCTTGCAAAATCTCTCTGCAGGCAGTGAAAATCTACGAAAGTCTTTGATATCCGAAGGCGGTATACAAAGTCTATTAGTTTACATCGACAGCACACTCGCCCAGGAATCTGCAATCGGAGCACTGAGAAATCTGGTTAGCTTGGTTCCAACTGATGTTCTAACATCGCTCGGCGTTCTGCCGTGTCTGCTGCACGTCCTTAGAGCAGGATCATTAGGCGCTCAGCAGGCAGCCGCATCAGCCATGTGCGTAATTAGCAGCTCGACAGAGATGAAGAAGATAATCGGCGAAGCGGGGTTCATTCCTCCACTAATCAAGATGCTTGAGGCAAAGTTGAACAGCGTCCGGGAAGTGGCAGCACAAGCGATCGCAAGCTTGATGACTCTACCCCAAAATGTAAACGAAGTGAAGAAGGACGAGAACAGTGTCCCAAATCTTGTGACGTTGCTCGACTCGAGCCCTCAAAACACAGCGAAAAAATATGCAGTTGCCTGCCTTGTGAACCTTGCCTCGAGCAAGAAATGCAAGAAGCTGATGATTTCCCATGGAGCAATTGGGTACCTCAAGAAACTCGTGGAAATGGAAGTTCCTGGTGCTAGAAAGCTACTTGAGAGATTGCAAAGAGGAAACTTGAGTTTTTTCACCAGAAAATGAACGAAAAACGGCAGCGTTCCATTGTATGTTCGTGATCGAATGCTCGAGTTTTTTGGTTGATCTTCATTGTTCAAATCGTTGCGGAATGTACATATTCGAGTACAATCGATTGAAAGGAACGAACCTGATCCAGCCTCCTGAACTCTCTCTTCATTTCTGTTAGTTTATTTTTTTCCCTTTTTTGGTGATGAATTCAAGAGCAAAATCTGGAATTCGATCTGTATTTAATTTGATCCAATAACTTATGTTTTTGTTCAGTTTCTCTTCAGATGTTCAAAATGTTACTTTCACAATGTTTCTGCACAGTTTCACCTGCAGTTGCAACTGCAACAAATATTACACCAAATGATTGATCTTTTTTTGGAATTTTTGCTAAAATCTCAAAGTTGTTGTTTTTATATATATAGAAACAAAACATTTTTGGCATCAAGTTGGCCCTTTGTACTTAAACTATTATTTAATAAACTGTTTTTCAAAAATAAAATAAAATGGGTATCACGAGCTCTATGAAACAAAACAAAAAAAAGAAAAACTTTTTTCATTCACACCTGAATTTTCTTTTCACGAATATTTCTTTAATGTTACGGACCTCGTATCATTCTTAGAAAATATTAACATATAGTTTACTAATTTCAAAATAGGAAATTGAATTTTCAACCCTTAAGAAATGATCAAGATATTTTAACTACGGTACTAAATTCAGGTTGACTCGCATTATCATCTAGTTGATGATATAATTCACAGAAACTATGCACATCAATCAAAATTCAAAATTCACTTAAATTATTTAAAACCCTTTAAAAATTTAGTCTTAAAATAAAATCAAGCTACCCTACTTACTTCAACTAATATGTGTAGACACCAATTTAAAGGTACTTAGTTCAACTAATATGTGTAGACACCAATTTAAATATAAGTTAATTGGTCAAGATATCTATTTCCATGACACAGTTCAACTGCGAAGATATCAAGTTCAACTAGTCAAGATATCAATTTAAATATAAGTTTAACTGGTTAAGATATCTATTTCCATGATACTGTGGTCGGTGGAATAGCCATGTCATAACAGATTCCCTTTTTGTTCAATCTCGAACGGACGGCCATGATCTGGGGCGGAAGGATTCGATATCATCAACGGCCAGAAATGGAGTCGGAACAATTCCACAGTGAGCTCGTGACACGTAAGCAAGGCTCAGTCCGACGTGGCCATGGTGTGGGTCGCGGCCAAACGGTAGCTGATATTTTGTTCGTTTGTCTCGTAAGGGAGAGGACCAAACGCGCCCTTATCATCTTCCATTTAGCGGTAAAATGTGATACGGAAGCTGCTGATACTCACAGCCTCAAATCCGAGCCTTAGCGACACAGAGCGCAGAAAACGAAGCAGAATCCTCAGATATTGTAAACTTCCTTCGCTTAAACTTTTAACCCACCTCGTTTTTCTGTGTTTTTTCTCTTCATCTTCCGTTTTTCTTTAATGGGTTGCTGTAATTTTGTTGGATTTAGAATCCCATTTCTCTGATTATTCGTTCAGGTATTCGGAGACCCAGATGGGTAGTTCTAGTTCTGAGTTTAATCTTGGTTTTCTGTTTTCTTTCAAGTTCTTGCGGTGTTTTTTGAGGCAATCATCTTCCTTCTTTAGTTTTTGTGTTCTTCTTCTTTAGATTTCTATGTTTCTTATGAATTGGAGGAGAAGAAGGTGATGGATGGTTGAGTTCTTCAGTTCTTCTCATAATTTGTAACTGGTTGAGCAGGAAAGAGAGGTTTAAGAAGCCAAAACCATTCACACTGTGCACGAGCTTCCGTTGTTTTCTTTTTGGTTTGAAATTTCTATTCTATTCTGCTTTCTGTTGTAAACTGAGTTCACCTGTTGGTCTGATTGTTTGAGTTGTGAAGAATGGTTCTTCCAGAAATATTTATAGAAAAAGTGTTTTAAATTTTTAACTTTAAAACACTGTTACCAAAAATCATCCCATCTTGCTCTTAGATATGTCTGTTCAATGTAAGAAGTTCAGCTGAATGTAAGAAGTTCAGCTGGCAGTAAGTGAAAACTAACGTATGGTGTTCAAGATATTATGGAGGATAACTGCTCTGCAAATAATTTTCTCCATAAGTACTTCAACTTTTGTTCTGGTGAATTAATGAGTGCAAAACTGGTAGTGAACATGATTCATTTTCCTATGAACTCCCAGTCTTAAAGAGAAAATAAGAGAAATGAACTTTAAACTACTGTTCAGACAAATCAATCCTTCCAAAAGCCCCAATTGTTTGGAGAAAAGCATGACCCAATCTTGTAGGTCATCTAAGACCAACATTGGAAACACCTCTAATCCTGTTTGGATCTTACGTCGAGGCGCGTTTTATGGATGAACTCAAGTTCCTTCTCAGATTTTAAAACTCCCCTTGGAGTGCAAACTAAGACGACTTGGGAACATAGAGAACTCCAACTCCGAATACTAACTAATATAGGATTGACACAATCAATCCTCCCAAAAGCTATAACACTTTGTAAAATAGCAATCCAATCCTAAATATCACCCTAGACAAGCTAAAGGACATACTCTCCAAGTCCCTTTTGAGACTTAACTCACTCTCACTTTTGGGATTGTTCTGCATTGGTTTTTTTTATCAGTAGTTGGAATGTCAGCTGAGCTTTCTTGAATTTCCACCTGAAATCTTGAATTTGATCTTTTGAAGGTGCATAAGTTTTAGAGATGAGTGCATTGGACGCAACCAGAGCAGAACTCGCGCTTGTCGTTTTGTATCTGAACAAGGCTGAAGCCAGAGACAAGATATGCAGGGCTATACAATATGGTTCTAAATTCTTGAGCAATGGAGAAGCTGGAACAGCTCAGAATGTTGACAGAACCACTGCCTTAGCTCGCAAAGTCTTTCGTCTTTTCAAGGTTAGCTTTCTTCATATTTATACTAATAAAGAATTTGGTTGTTTTGTTGCTACTCTGTAGTTTCTGTTGCATATTTACTCCTTGTATAGATTATTCTCCGTATTGAAGTGCTTCTACAGCATTTATCCCTTAAACTTGATTTCTGTTTTGTCTTCAACATAATGGATGCAAAACAAAAAGTCTCCCAAAGACGGAGGTTTCACAATCCGATCTCTCAAATGAAGAAAGATAGTCAGTCTAGATATTAAGCATCTTAGAGCATTCTCTTCCATTTTTTAGCTGGATCTGGGCACCGGCCCGCAACTCTACTGCAACCTTAATTTGTCAATAAGGCCCTATTGATTGTTATTCTGCAGGAGATATCAATTATAAACTCTAATATGATTTGATCTGCCCTTCTTTTGGGAATATGGAATTCAATCAATGATCTTTCTTTTAAGCATAGATTGTCATTCCAAAGCATAAGATGTAGCATCCCATTCTGGATCATATAGAGAGCTAACATACTTTTTCATTTTTAATTCTGGATATTGTTCATGTGCAGTTTGTTAATGATCTGCATGGACTAATCAGCCCTACTCCCCAAGGAACTCCTCTGCCCCTTGTTCTTTTAGGGAAGGTATTTATGTAACTCTTAAAATGCACTTTCTTGTAGTACTCTTATTTAACTCCTGTCCTAACTTGAGGCTACCTTACAGTCCAAAAATGCCTTGTTATCGACTTTTCTATTTCTCGATCAAATCGTCTGGCTCAGTAGAACAGGCATCTATAAGGTATCCCTCGCATTCCTGTTAATTGTTTGTAGTTGGCTATGACTTTACTTCTATTGCATTGACATATTACATTTTTCGATAGAACAAAGAGCGCGCTGAGCTGATCGGTAGGATATCGCTGTTTTGTTGGATGGGTTCATCAATCTGTTCCACATTGGTTGAGGTCTGTGTTTTCCAATCTGTACATTAATTGAACTTATATTCCACATGATGCAACTGATATCCTTCGTTTTTCCTTCTCGAATTAGCTCGGAGAGCTCGGCCGGCTTTCGTCAGCAAGGAAAAAGCTGGAGAAGGATCTCAAGAACAGGAATAAGTATGAAGTATGTTTACTGAACCCCCTCTCAACAATGATCCAAGTATTCTAGTCTTTCCTTGTTGAACGCCCTTCTCATTGTTGTACTCTTTTTCGGCGTATTGAATGGATCTAGGACGAGAAATACAGCGCGAAAGTTCGACAATCGAACGAGCGGTCCCTTGCACTGATCAAAGCCGCTATGGATGTTGTTGTCGCGGTCGGGTTGCTTCAGTTAGCACCTAAGAACATAACTCCTCGCGTCACCGGAGCATTTGGATTTGTCACCTCTCTGATATCTTGTTATCAGGTAATCACTGATTCTCTTCATCAACATCTGTTTTATGGTATCAGTGTCTTTCTTCTGCACTGCCATTAGCTGAATAAAAATAGGCAAAAATATGGAAGAAAACAGTAGATTAATTAAGGTTCAAAACCTATTTCAGTTTTTTCTGAACTTTCATGCATATTAGTTATTTTGATCCGGTTTATCTCCCCAGTTTTTAAGGACCCGTTTGATAACTATTTGAAGCATTACTTTCACCTGTGCATTCCTTTATTTTGTTATATAGTTTTTATAAAGATTTTCAAAATCTCGGCCAAATTTTGAAAAAAAAAAACAAAAAAAATTGTTTTTGTTTTGAGAATTTTGAATAAGAATTCAAATATGTTTGGAAAAGAGATGAAAAACTTACTAATGAAATTATACAAAAATAAGCCTAATTTTTTAAAATAGAAAAATAAAAATGAAATGGTTATCAAACGGCTCTTAAATAATATTTTGTTTGTGACCTTAAAATTTTCCTAGAAAACTATTCTAGTCTTTGTCATTCATTAACTTCTAATATTTATTCCGATTAACATCTACTCACCACCAAGTGAATGTATAGAACACGTGCCTATAATAATTTAATTTTTATGTAAAATTTGGGATTGGAACATGATATTTAAAAGTTTAAAGATAAAAATAGAATAAACTTAAAAGTTCGGGCAGTCATTAACTAAAAGCATTTTCTGATGTCTGTGGGTTGCAGTTGCTTCCATCAGCACCAAAGTCCAAGACCTCTTGAAGAAAGAAACTCCATGCTTGCTTGCTCATGGCTATGAAACCATCCCAATTAAATAATTATTTAAACTTGTAAAATAAAAAAAAAAAAAAAGAGAAATATTTACTCGTGTAACTGTGGACTTTAGGGTGAAATCGAAATATTCATGTATAAATGATACTTATGAGATTATTTAGGACTTATTTGTTAATGTTTTCAAATTATTTTTCACTTTTTATTTTTGAGAAATATAAGCATTTGGTAACTTTTTCGGAAATTTTATAGTCAATGACAAAATCATTTTTTTTTGTTCTGATTTTTACATTTTTTAAGATATAGATAAAAATATTGTTTTGTCATTTTTTATTTTAAAACTATAATAAATATTTTTAAAAATTAATACAACAATTTTTTTTTAAATAATGTTCATAATTTTTCTACTTTTTTTAATTTAAACAGTAGAGAAACAAGAAATAAATTTTGGTTACCAAACATGTTTCTATATCAAGTTTAAATGTATTGATATAAAATATACTTCTTTAATATACATCATGCAAATTTTTCGATATTAGTTCGTTGAGTAGATTCCGATGCATATCAATCTAGAAGGGTAACTCGAATGAATCCTTAGATTTTAGTGTACCAACTCTAAAAATGCATCCAAATCCTTTAGACACAAGCTAATTCAAGAGAGAAATGTAAAAGGCAAAATATTGGATGCATTATAGATTATTTACTACACTACCAATGAAGCAACCAAAAAAAAAAAAGAAAAAGAAATGATTTTCACATTCATCTACACAGATCAGAAATCTTCCACAAACAGATTATTTATCACAATTTTGGATGGTTGGGAGTCAGTTTCAAGGCAAAGGTGGAAAATTAGAAACAACAAACACAAGATGATTGATTTATGCTACTTCGTCTGGTTCATCTTCCTCCTCTTCCCATGCATACTCCTCACCTTGTCCGACGTTTCCCCGAAGCATATTCACAATCTGTCGCAATTCTATGACACGTCTCTCCAAATATGTGGGAAGGATCGTGCGGGGCTCATTCTCGAGCATGCTTAACTGGTTGCAAGCCTTTGCCTGACGGTTGCACTTCAGTTGAAACTTCCCAGAGGGTTCGAGGATTTCGACGTCAAACGCAGGGGATAACGGCCGCCCAATAACTTGCACGTGAGAAACGCTGCGGTTGAAACACGAGTTGTTGAGACGTTAGTGGTACAAGATGCAACAAACTGTATCTTAATTCTACATTTAAAAAACATAAGTTAATGGATCAACACCTGATGTAAAGATACTACTGCCTCCATATTGAAGTTGGTTGGGCATTCGTCTGAACGGATGCCCCATTTCACAGATGAATACATTCATCTTTACTAAAACAAAATTGTCTGTAATACGTCTATCGGTCTGACTAAATTTAAGGTTTCGAGCATCCTTGAAAGGAGGATTTAAAATTTCCTTCGGGCTTCACTAAGGCACCAATTAGGGAAGCCATATAATCTTGGGCGGGAAAAATTATTGAATGYGGTCGCCCCCTAGAGATTCATGATTTATATGCTCCCTAATAATCACTAGATACAAGATACAGACTCAAAAAATATTTTGTAGTTTCTCTCATACATCTAATGGTAAAAAATTATCAGCCACATTGTTCCAGCCTCGAGATTGAAAATCTCAGAGAGAAGACTCAGAAATTTTGCTTGTTTCAATGAATATTTGAATATTTGAAGAGCATTAAACCAGACAGGTAGAAGGAAAGAAGTAAATATACTATTGAACGTACCACATGTAAAACAAAGCATCCGTTTCTTGTCTTTGCACCCTGCCAAGCAGCTCAATTTGCAAAATGCCTCCTATGCAAAGAACAGGTTCAGGAAGCTTGAACTTCTGTAAGCAATATTCCTGCTCGGTATAATGTCATTTAACTAGTCAGTTGTCATTCAACGGAGTGGAGCAAGTACACGTAATGCAATACGAAGCTATTATGTTATGCCTAAATAGCATGGATTTTAACCATGTTCAAGTTAATCTAATCAAACATCATTCTTCCATGATGCACAAATCAGAGCTCCAACAAGGTTATTCGACCGATCTATCTCACACTAACAATGTGACAGCTGGTGAAAGTTGGAAAATGATTGACCAAAGGTATCGGATTCTCGAGCCAGATATGTGGAATGACTAAATTAGATGAGGTTCAAGATCCCGGATGGAGAACGCAGAATACATCAACGAAGCATAGGCTTAGGACATACCTGAACCATTGAAAATTCTGGAGAAGTGTAGGTCCATATGAACGTCTCGTTTGCAGATTTACAGTGTGACTCCCCAACCAGATCATTCCTAGGATCTATGGCATGTTTTAAATGACCAAATCGAAAACGCACAGCTTTCGCTGAGTATATAGGTGAACCTGGCTGAAAAAATGCTGGACATGAAAATAACTTCATCATGTAAGCAAATAATATAGAAGGTGAAAGAACCTTATTTGAAGTCAAAATTGGAAAAAAAAAAGGTTTTGGAAAGTATGAAAAGAAATACCTTGGAAAGGTCGTATGTTAATTTCGGTAACAACACAGAAATTGGAGATCAATTTGTATGTCAGTGTTTCTGGCACATCAGGTTTAAATTGTCCTTTACTTGACCAATATGAAGCTCTCCTTGCTACAACATCTCTTGGTTCCAACGTGTTATCAATGCTTTCCTCAGGATAGTTGTCAGTGCTGGAAGCAATAATTGCCTCCGAAATGCAATTCCTTATAAAAAATGACGTAGTCGCATGTGCAAGATAAGCATAAACTCTGTGATCCCTCTCCAAAGGTTTAAAATCTCTCGAACTACTACAAGCTACTTCTTTTTGCCCCTTCACTTCTAAATTGTTTATTTCAACAATCGACGCAACTTGAGACAATTGAGGGAACGATCTAAAGCAGAGATGCTTAGATAGACCATTTTCTATCACTGCAAAATGTAAAATGCAAAGCCCGTCAAAGTATAGTTAAAATCATATATTTAATCTATCTCCTTCTTCTCGCATCGTTCTCTATCAAACACTGCTCGTAAATTGCAATTCCATTTGGCTATTTCCATCACTCAAACTTCTTTTCACACAAGATGTCTAAACAAACTTATAAGTTTCATGGATCAGCCAATATCAAGAATGCATTACATCTACATTCTAATCAAAACTGAAAGTTGAGACGGACTTTTTAACTAATGGTACTCAACTCACCCAAATGTTGCCAACATCGTGAAACGGCACTGGCACGAACGATATCAGAAATATCATCCAAGCACATTAGAATCTTTCTCGACATGTCGGGTTGAAGCAAATCCAAGAAATCCATACGGGCTTCCATTTCCAGCAACTTACCATAAGAAAATCCACCCCCTTCCAAATTTTAGACCTAAGTTGAAATGAAAAATACATAACTCAGAAATACTTATCAGTTAAAACCCTGCCCGCATACTTCTCCCATCACATCCTCATAAAAAAATTCCAAAATTGCGATCGAACCATAAACCACCAGACTTTAACATAATTCTAATGAAAAATCGTCGAATACATAGCAGAATATACAAAAAAATTTAAAATAATGACAATGATTTGCAGTTATGGAGCTGGATTGGACCTGTCGAAACGAAAAAACTTCAACGCAATGCGAAATAAAAAATCCCTTAATAGATAAGCAATTGATAGATAAAATTAAAGCCCCATCAACAGAAATCATCTCGAATCCTCTTATCGCCACAGAAATCATTCAAAACCCAAATTTACAGAGAAGCAGAGAGAAAGAAATAACACTTTCAGAAGACAAATTAAAGGAGAACAATCAGATAAGGAGGCGGTGATTCAAAATCAGCCCCCATTTTCAGCAAAATTCGCAACGAAATGAAAGTCACAGACCCATTGCATGAAATCAAAAAGAGAAACAAAGGAGTGTTGAGGAATTCAGAGAATGAAAAGTAACATTTGCAGATAGAAAAAGAAAGTGAAAACCTTTTAGTTTTTGTTGTTGTTGAGTGCTCACTTTCATCAATGGGCAAAAGTGTCGCAACCAAACCCTCGATGAGAGAATCAGAGCGACAGAGATTTGGTAGAGAAAGATAAGCTCAAAATTATTATTTTTATTATCAAAAAGAAAGAAATAAAACAAACAAACAAAATAAAAAAATAATAATAGAGAAAAAAAAAAAGGCAGTTCGGAGGACAGCGAAATTCTGTTTTGATTTTGTAATTTCGATCACGACGACCTTATTAATTTTTTAAATTGGGAAATTATACTAAATGCTACAAAATAATTATGTATTTATAGTCGTCAAAAAAAAATTATGTACTTATAAAAATATCATTCCTATTTTTGTTCAAAAATATCTCAAGTAATTATAATTTATGCTATATATGAAAGATTCAAAATACTATTTTTTTTTGTGTAATTTCTTCATTTTAATTTCCATACTAATAAATAAATTGGTATATTATATTGATTGTTTTAGTTTCTTTACTTATTTGTTAGGAAAATTTAGTCACTATCCACTACATTTACAACTATTTTTACTTTGTGGTTTTTCCTAGATTTATTATTATTTTGCCAAATTATAGGAAAATTAACTTCAAAATGACAATGAAAGAATTTATTGGAACCAAGTATTTCAAACATAATTTTATTGACTTTAAAAAAAAGTCAATAAAAATATGTTTCCCTTCCCCGCCCGTTTCTTTTTCTATTATTTATTTATTTATTTATTTTCTAATGTCATATATATATTTAAAAATCCTAAACCTAAAATTTGAGTGTGAAACTCACCCTTTGTTGTGATTTTATGACTTACTTGTTCCGGTCACGGTCATTTAAATTGTGAAATTAAAATTTTTAGAATGTGTTGTTTTATGAATTATGATACAATATTAGAAAATATAAGAATCTTTCTATGGAGATTTCTGTAGAAATTTAACCACTTAAATGAAGAATTAACATTTAATTTATAATATTTTAAAACAAATAAATAAACGGAAAATAATTCTCTTAAAACTCAATCTCCATGAAATTTCGTAAAAATATTTCAATTTCACGAGGACATAAAATGAAATGTGGAACTACAACGTGGACGAGTCTTCTAACCCTATCCTTCCCCGCCTCCATAACACTCCTAATGAAATGTGGAACTATAACGTGGACGAGTCTCCTGACCTTATCTATCCCTGTCTCGATAACACTCCTAGTCCAACCTCTCTCCTAGTTTGCTGCCTCAATCAATATAAATTGGTTTTCTCAATTTACATTCGTTGTAATTTGTAAAGGGGCCTTTTTTTATCAAAATTGAACAATACCAAAGTTTTTTTTTTGTTCTTAAATGTGTTTGTTTCGATAATTAATAAGGTTAAAAACACATTTGGTTTCTATACTTTCATTAAAGTCCCTGAATTTTAGTTTGTAACGATTTATTCCATGTACTTTCACTGAAATAACAATTTAGTCATTGAACTTTTAGCTTGTAATTATTTAGTCGCTGTGGTCTAAAATTTATAACAATTTAGTACCTATCGTAAAAAATTTTATTAAAATTAAGTGTCAAATTTTATCATATAATAATTTAATCTTTCTAATATATAAACATGTTTGGTCACTCTATAATTTATCAATCTATATATACAAGAATAATCTATATATAAGAAACTTCAACGAGAGTACAAGATCAAAATTGTTTTTCTAACCAATTAATAATTATTGATTAGATATATGTCTTGTAGAAATAAAATTATTGTTTGATTTTGATTTTCTAGACAATGTATCTCTCTTCCAATACTTTCATTAACATCTCTAAACACATGGACTTTAAATTCATTAAATCACGTTTCTTCATGTCTTCATCTTAATTCTCTTAAAAAAACAAATTAAATAGATTGAATCCAACTAAATCATAAACCTAATAAATTTGGTTAAATGTTAAATATTGAATCAAACCTATGCTAGAAGGAAAAATGACACTTTATTCGTGACAAACATTGAGAGACAACAAAATATTTCTTATTAAAACATCAGAAAAAGTAGATAACAAATATACTACGAACTTGAACATAACTCAACTAAAATATCGGAAGTTTGAATCTCTACGTAAGCTAAAAAAAACCACAAATTTTAGTGGGACAAAGGAAGATCTAAATAGGGGAGAGAGGGAAAACAAGCATTGCTCTACCCCTGTTTAAATTTTCAGCACTATTTTCCAAATTTCTTACAATTTGGACATTTTATTCCCAGTTTTGTTCATTTGGGGTCCCAAAACAACATAAATTACACCAAAACTTTCACACAAAACATGTTGTCTGAAAATTGAAAAACTAAGCATTGCTCCAACAAGTGAGTGATCCCTCGGTTCACCGAGCGCCCCATCAGAATCCCGATCAAAACCAACTATGGTATGGTCTCGAACAATCGAGAAACGTCGCCCTTTCGAAGATGGGGCAGGCCACACACAGAAATGAGCAGCAAGAGTTTCAAACTTTTACCTCTCTTTTACCTACAAAATCTCAACTTTGCCTCATTTGCTAGAGTAGAAGAGGCTGTATCAGCACAGAGTCTAGGCAGAGCCCTCCTTTGGTGTGGGTGCAATCAATCTGAGTCAATGAGAATTTTAGCTTCATCACTGTGTTTCTCCCGCTTTCAATGGCGAAATCTCCGACGTGGTAGTTCACCCAGTTCCCGGGACCGCCCAGGAAACACTGCGACTCCGTGTGCTGGTTATCAGAAGTTGTCAGCTGGAACCTCACTGGCTTTATGTCCCACCCGTGGACTTGATCCGTGTAGCAGACTCGACGACCTAGTCTCCTCAATGGTTTGCCAAGATGGAGCCTGAAGAACACGCCATATCTTCCTTCGGGGAACTGGAACTCGAGCTCTCCGTTCACCTCGAACCACCATGTTTGTTGAAGATAAGCTATGGTCTGAAATCTGGATTTGGGAATGGGAAACAAGAAATATCACATCTTTCTGCCATTTTCCCCATTGATATATATAAAGACTAAAAGCCAGCTATTTTAGCAGATGAAAATAAACTCTCTTTTTTACTCAAATGCTTGTTTCCAAATCAAGACATTGTTAGCAATTCTAATGCATACAAGTATCGACATATTGAATATCAATTCTATCTTCAAAATGTTCGTTGACACCGACATTTTCATAAACAATAATGTAATAACGAACAAGAATCACTAGTTCAATAATCAAGCTTTTAAAAACTTTGTAAAGCTGCACGATCGGGTAACTTGTAAAGGTTTTGAAATTACTGCGTGTAGATTTGAAGGTCGAGGTTACGTTGATCGTTTCCTCGCCACAGCTACACTTGAAATCACTGTTCACAAGCTCGAGTTCTTTGAAACTTGAACTTCAGTCATTCTAAGAAACAGGTCATCATGAGAACAAATTAAGGAAAACAACAATTCTAATGGAAACAGCCATTTAAAGAGAGATGTTTTCAAGTCTCAATTCCCAAACAGTGCTGGTTTTCACACAAACAAGTTAATGAAATTTAGCCAAAATTCTCCAATCCCAATGGTAAACACAACTAATTGTTGAATGATAATGCAAAACCAAAATTCTTCAGAGCTTTTCTCAAATCTTTTCACCTGGATTCCTCTGTTTGGATATGATTCCAATATCTCCTGTCATCAATTCCAGTAATCGTCAATGCTTTCCAAGAAATCGCCATTGATAACCCACCAGTTTTCTTCTCCAACCAAAACTCCTTCAACCAATTCAAAAACCCCATTTCAGAAAACCCAAAATCAATCCACATCCAAATCACAATTCTAGAGAGAGAAACAGAGAGAGAGAGAGACCTTTGAGACGCTATTTATGGGGTTTCGTCTGCAGAGTCTGCAATAAATGTCTTTCTTCCTCAAACTCGCCGGAGCTTTCTCTTTCCCGTCAAGCTCCGATGCTTTGTCCATCAGAAATTGATAGTTCGAAGGCAATTTATATTCCCAGATGAAATCCGCCGAGGCGGCGCCGCGAAACAGCCGGTTCACTCCGGCCAATTTGCAAATCTCCGGCGGGTCCAAATGCATCAGAACCAGAGCAACGCAGTTTTCCGGCACATCTTCAAGCCCGGGCTTCAATGGCGGACCAATTCTTCCACTGCAATCGGACAAATTAGCACCCATCTGATTAAACCCCCGGCTTAAACCCTGAACCTGAGAAATCCGTTCGAATCCGCAGCACCCAGAAGTTGAATTCGAACTCAGAACTTAAATTTGAACCTGAATCGGAAGATCTTCACCACAAGATTCAAGGGGAGGAACGCGAAGAGGACAACACCCCACCCCAAAACCAAATCCAAACTCATTTATTTCAATTACCCAGAAGCAGAAATTCGAGAATATGCAACTCCCAAAACGGATTTTCGAGATGAACACCACTTTCAAGCCCCCAGCAACTACATGACCCAGAAATCGAGAGGGAGAATTGAAGCAGTTGCTGATAATTTAAGAACCTAGAGCCCAATTGGGGGCTAAGAAAAGTTCCTGATAATTTAATAAAGGGATTTTTTTCTCTCTCTCTAAAATCTGCAACTTTTTTATTTCTTGTTCGAGAGGACTGACATGGATGGAGGCCGCGAGGCTCCATCCGGTACAGTACGATTCATTCCGCAGCGCCACGAAGAAAGAGAAACTGATTCCGTTACGTTCTGTTCTATGGGTGGTCGTGCAGTACACGCGCGCTGAGGGATGAAGCAATGGAGGCGCGTGTGAAACACGCTCTTTTCGAGCGCGTTGTCAGTTCTTTGCCGTTTTTAAAATTGTTTTTTATTGTAAATCATTGTCTTATGGATAAGATTATGATTAAAATATTAAATAAACTGATATGTTATTTTTTTATTATTTATTTTTTAGCAATTGCATTTGCAAATATTTAAATGAGTACGGTTGGACGGTTAAATCATCTTATTTGTTCTTTTCTAGTTCGAGGTTAACTTTTTTTTTTAATTAAAAAAATGTTAAATTTAAATTTTATTTTAAGTTATAAACTTTTTCCTTCTAGACTTAGCATTGATATCAAATATTTATTTGTTATTAACTAGTGAGATGTTATTAATATCGTAGTTAAGTTTGATACGTAAAGTTTAATGGTTGTATTGTATCTATTTAATTCTTAAACTTTAAAAAGTTTCAACATCTTTTAAATATTTAATTTTAATTTTAATAAATAATTGTTGTTAACGTTGTTACTTAATGGTTGTATTGTCACCTCGACATTACATTATTAGAAATTTTATTACATCCAATTTGAGTTTTTTTTTTCAACAACCAGCTACCTCCCTTTAATTATCAACTATTCAATCTCATAAGTCCATGGTGTTTGAAGATTTCAATTATTCTAAATTATTGTATTTTTTTACCACTGTACTTTAAAACTAATTTTAAAAAATGGTCATTCAAACATGTTTTGAGTGCTATAATATTCGATCACATCCTTAAATATACCATCTCTTTTTTAAAAAAGATCTATATTATTTTACCTCGACTTTAACTAAATATTTATAATTAATAATAAATAAATTCATTGTTTCAACGTTCGTCCTACATTTACAATTCAAAATATTGAAAACTAATAAGGGATGTGACTGAAAAATAAAAGGAACATGTCATTATTATAGTATAGAAACTTTCACAACCACAATTTTTTTTAATTAAACTTTATTTTAAGAGCTATACACCATAAAGTTGGAGTTTATTATTAATCCATTATTGAACATTAAAGTAATGTTTTTTTTCCCTCTCTCCCCCTATTCCATCTATATATTTGTAAGTATGTATGTGAAATGTGGTTGATGGGTTGTTATGTGGTGACTCAGATCCACGTAGGATCCAAATCCATTTTTTTAATCATTTTATTGAGAGAGAGAGATGAGGCAAACTTTTTCTTTGATTGGATTTTGAGTTAACTAGTGGAGACAACAAGACATATCTTTTTGTTTGTTTGAACTATTTCTGAAATAAAATGATTATCTTTTAAAAATAAACAATTTTGATGAAATTGTTTGAATAATTGTACTTATTGCTCATTTTAAATTATTTTTTCTTTGCTGTGTTTTTAAGGGTTAACCCACTTTTTATAGGCGTTAACATAAATTTTGAGGGCCTGAACCTCCAACTTCGAAATAATAGCAAGAGTTTGATTCATGTTGTCAACTTGATACAACTTATCAGTGTTTCCTAATCGTTGTAATAGATTAAACTATCAGTATGGTCTCTGCGGTTTAGATGAAATTTGAATTTTATACTTATGGATTTAAAAGTTTCAATTTAATCCCTATTGTTTATGCAAGGATATGCACAACAGTGTATTTCTGATTACAGCT